CACAATATAGCTTTTGGTTGTGATACTACCAATTCAAGAGGTCGTGAATTATTTGATATATTTGATGATGCTGATTTATGTATTTTAAATTCTGGTGACCCTACTACTATTTCTAGACCTGGTAATAATGCATCAGCCATTGATGTTACTTGTGTTAGCCCTGATATTGCACCACTTTGTGAGTGGTATGTCGGTGATGACTCTTTAGGGAGCTATCATTTACCTACTTTTGTTAACATCATTACCTCAACTCAAAAATATACAGTTCAAGAGTCTATACATAAGTATTTATATAATAAAACAAACTGGAATATGTACAATGATAAATCCAAAGATATATTTGATAAATTTTCTCCTTCAACAATTGATCCTTTAGTTCAATATGATGAATTTTCTAAATTACTATTTAGTTTAAAAGAAAACTGTGTTCCATTGTTAAAGCATAAATCTTCTAGTAAAAAGTCTGCTCCTCCAGCTCCTTGGTGGAATGATACTTGTGCCGAGGCTGTAACAAAATCAAGAGAAGCATTAGCTAATTATAGACGTAATATGACAATGGACAATTATATAGAATATAAGAAAATAGATTCGAGGAAAAAAATTATTATAAAAATGGCTAAGAAAGACAGTTGGAAAAGTCTTTGTTCGTCTTTTAATAGATTCACTCCAATATCCCGAGTGTGGAATTTTATTAGAAGATTTAAGAGAATTAACATTAATAGAAATGTGTCCAAAAATGATGAGTGGATAGCAAGCTTTTTAGAGAAGTTAGGGCAACCTAGTAATAACAATGATAATATTTCTGGTTTATTCGAATTTAATGATGGAAGTCAGTGGAGCAAGTTTCTACTTAACTCTTTTTGTTTTGAAGAACTTGACATGGCTTTGTCTTCAAGAAAGAATACAACCCCTGGTCTTGACGATATTCCTTATATTATGCTTCAAAATCTACATGTTTCTGTAAAACATATTCTACTTAATATTTTAAATTCGCTTTGGTCTCATCAATTGATTCCAGAATCCTGGAGGTTGCAATGTGTCATACCAGTGTTAAAACCTGATAAACCCAATGATCATTTTAATTCGTACAGACCCATTTCTCTTACATCTTGTGTAGGGAAATTGTTTGAGCAAATGATTAAGATTAGACTGGACTATTTTGTTGAAAACCAGAAACTTATTCCTTCTTGTCAGTTTGGATTCAGAAAAGGCAAAAGTGCAGCAGAAAGTTTTATAGCTTACCTGACTGATATGAAGAAGTGTTTGTTATCAGGTTCTACTGCAATTTGTGTTTTCCTTGATGTTCAGGGGGCATATGATAATGTAGATCTTCACCAATTAATTAGGGTGCTATATTCCTTGGGTATCCCAGGAAAGCTTTTAAAATGGATTTTCCATATGTATTATGGTCGTTCTTTATACATTAAATACAATAATGTTTTTCATGGTCCAAAATTAGCATTCAAGGGGTTGATGCAAGGGTCTTCTTTATCTCCAATCCTGTATAACCTTTATACTTCACAAATATATACATATGTGACTGAATCTGTAAAAATATTACAATTTGCTGATGACATCTTAATATATAGTGTAGGCAGTAATTTACAGGTTACTCAAGCAAAAGTTAATTCAGCTTTATGTCAACTTAACTACTATTATACTGAGATACTTAAATTAAATATAAATAGTAGTAAAAGTTCAGTTTTAGCTTATGGTATTGATACTAATGTAAATGTTAAGTATAACAATAATTTAATCCCTCAAAATAGCGAAAAAAAGTTTCTTGGTGTAATTTTTGACACTAAATTAAAGTTTACCAAACACATTGACTATATTTGTAGTAGAGCTTTGAAAGGTATCAATATTTTGCGGTCCTTAGCAGGAACTTTTTGGGGTTCTGATCCAAAAATTCTTTGTTTATTATATAAAAGCTTAGTACGTAGTCATTTTGATTATAGCTGTCTGGCATATATGAATATTAGTCCTGTATTATTAAAAAGCTTGATGTTATCCAAAATATTGCTCTTAGAATTGTTACTGGTGCAATGCGTACCACTCCTATCAATTCTATGGAGGTTGAGTCATGTGTAGAACCACTATGTATTCGGCGAGTATTAATTGCTGAAAAATTTTGCCTGAAAGTAATAACTTCTCAGAATGATGTTCTTCTTCCAAAACTTTCTTATTCTATAACTATCACTAATACACCAGATTTGCCTTCAAGTATAACAGCGACTAATGTTCTCAATAACCAGATCCCTGAATTATTGGGAATTATGAGCTTTATGACTGATTTATCTGATAATATGTACAAATCTGAACTATGGCCTGTATATCTCTGTAAATATAAAGCTCTTATGTGTAAATTAAATATAGATATGTCCAGTGTAGTAGATAATATAGACTTTCTGGATTATTGCTGTACCAAGCCTAACAGTTACAAAGTCTACACTGATGGCTCTAAATCTTCATCTGCAGTGAAATCGGGTTACTATGATCCTCAGGCTAAAACCTCAAAATGTTTTATGTTAAGTAATACTTGCAGCATATTTACAGCTGAAGCTTATGCTATCTATCAAGTTGTATTGTACTTACACAGTTTACAAAATAACGATAACTACATGGAGTTCCTAATAATTTCAGATTCAAAAAGTGTGTTAATGGCTTTAGACAAATGTCATACTCATTATAGAAATAATTATTTATTGTATAAAATTAGAGAAGCATTGATATCTTTGGATACTCCAGTAACATTTAAATGGGTGCCCTCTCATAGGGGTATCAAGGAAATGATATTGTAGATGGTATTGTCAATTCTAATTATGATGAGGATCATAGTATTACATGCAGAGTTCCTTTTACGGATTTTCTTTTCGACTTAAAACAAAGAAGTCGCAAGTTATGGGAAAGCTATTGGAAATTATCCTCACAGCATAAAGGTAGTTGGTATGCAGAGATCCAAAAGGAACTCCCATGTAAACCTTGGTATGATAAATACAAAGGAGCCAATGAACGTAAATTTATAACCATTATTAATCGTTTGAGGTTTGGCCACTGTCAGACTCCAAGCCATTTATTTCGTTTTAAAATTATAAATAATAACAGATGTACATACTGTGGAGGAAAGGAGGCCGACTTATCCCACCTCATCTTAAGTTGCCCGACCTTTAAATTTCAACGATTAATACTAGTAACGGATATTATGAAGTTAATGGATTTTGATGAGAATAATCGGACTAAACTTGGAAATTCTTTAGCAAATAACCCGACAAGATCAGCTTTAGACTCATCAGTCACTGCAAATGGTAGTCATCAATGTAAACCATCACAAATAGAAATTCCCCGCCGTGTCCAAGATTTACTGAAATGTCCAGTTCTATTTAAAGCTATTTACTATTATATAAAAAACACGGTTGAGAAAATTTAAAACTCACCATTGTTTTATATTAATTGTATTTTATGTTAAGTTAGTATAGTAAATAGTTATTTGTGTAAGATATTTTGTTATACTTTTTTTTAAAGTGCCAATGGACTTTGTATCCGGCTAATAAATAAATTAAAAAAAAAAAAATCTGTACTCTGTAGTCTATACTCTGTATTAATAACTTGGTAATTTTATTCTTGTGCTGGTGCGATGTTGCATTTTACAAATCAGGAAACATATTACGTTATACGTAACTTAAAAGCTTAGAGTTTTAGTTAAAAGTGCAAGCCTCAAGGCCTCAACCTTCATATCAGTGATCAGTCGTCATGGATTGATTTTTTGGTAGCTGTGGAGTTGTGGACTCCATTAGCAAAGCAATCCTCCATTTTGTGTAAAAGTTTGGCCTGTTATTCACATCAAGTGTTATGATGAATGGTAAATAATGGAAACATATTTTGTTCTTGAAAAATGTGAATCAACTCATTCAAAGTTGCTCTTCATAACTTCTTTGATGATCAGATTTTAATAAGTATTTTGTCTCATGTACTTAGTAAGATAAAATTACTTGAAGTTAGATGTTTTTTCCTGTGTGGTAGGAGAGTTGTAAACTGGATGAATTCAGGAGGACAAATAAGATAATAAGCAATAAAGAAATAATTTATAACAATGCAATTAATATTTCGTTCAAGATATTTCTACAAGTTTTCACCAGAGTTACATCATAGCATCAAAAATAATAAACATAACCGGTTTCTACATATTTTTACTTTAACCAAAATTCTAATGAAGTATAAATAAAATCTAATGCTAATCTAATGCTTCACTCTCCGTAAGGAAGACTGCCCCCCTGTCACTTTAAATGGCACCAAATTACCACATAAAAATACAGTAAAATATTTAGGAATGCATCTAGACCGCAGACTCACCTGGAAAAAACATATTCAAACAAAGCGAGACGAAATAAACCACAAATACCTTGTATTTTTACCTTGTATTTGTCTCTACTGGCTAATGGGATGAAATTCAAAACTATCCATTGACAATAAGTTGCTTTTATACAAAACCATTCTCAAACCTATATGGACATATGGAATACAGCTTTGGGGATCTGCTAGTGCCTCAAATATAATAATAATACAAAGAGCTCAAAATTACATACTCAAGCAAATATCAAACACCCCATGGTTTCTCAAAACAACAGAAGTCCATGAATTTCTTAACATGCCCATGGTAAAAGAGGAAATTATCACACATGGGTATAACTACAAACTAACACTTCAAAAGCACCCCAATCAGCTAGCAGGACAGCTAACTATACCAGAAACTACTCGACAACTAAAAATGCGGCGAGACATTTTTGACCAGGACAACCCAATAGACTGAGTTTAAATAAGAATAAACAGGCTCCGCTGGAAGTAGCGCCTAACATGTCAAGAAGCACTCAACGTATATACTTATAGTGGCAGACTGATAGTATGATTAATATTTAAAAAAAAAAAGTTAATCTACCACACTCCCCACACAAGACCCCCGGACCAAAGAAGAGACTTCCCGCGCGAGTTATTTCGCGCGGAACATGACGACATCTAAACCTAACATCTCATCTCAAACAAAAGGACCAGATCCCTCCCGCTGGCGACTCGGAGCGCGCACACGACTTCAACCGCTGGTCTTCCTCGCTGGGCCTCCCTCGGGTTACCGAGGGTCTCACCCGGTGTGGTTCGACCGCGCCGACGCGCGCCCGATGCCGCCACGGGGTTGCGCCTCCAGCCCCACCGACAAACACGATTAAGGCGCTGCGAGAGCGAGGACGCTTCGCATCGCCACGGGGCTCAGGGCCGCTCCAGGCCCGCCACCACGACCGCCCGCGAAGCCTACATTCCCCGCAAGCCCATGGGCGTAACGGGGTTCCCGGCGCCACCCACGGGTGCAAGCGCGGAAGAAAGCAGAACCAATTCTTTGCGCCATCCTGTATAAAGAATCTGAGCGATTTCCAGTTTAAAATCTTTTAATTTAATCGAAGTTGGCTCGTTATTCTGTTCTCTTACTCTCTCTCCTTCTCTCATGTGCCTCTCCTAAGTCTTGTGCCAGCTATTTATAGCGAGCAGCGAGCGAGCTATTTTTCAAAGCAGTGGGCCCATTTTCCCTTAGAGGTCTCTTCTATGGCATTTTCGTACGCTTTCATCACATCTTCAGGGCTCGTAAAGCGAATATCTCGAATTTTATCTTTAGTTCTTGGGAATAAATGACAGTCGCAGGGCGCCAGGTCACGGGACTGTATGGCGGATGACTCATTATCTCGTCACATGCCATAGTCAAATATTCAACAGTCCGTTTTGCGGAGTGCGCTGAAACATTGTCGTGATGAAGGAGGATCCTGCTTCAGGGGCACTTCTGTCGAATTTTTTCTAAGACAACAGGCAAACAGCGATTGACATACCAGTCTGTGATGTCTAATATAGTATTTGAGTCACCGCCGTTGAACTTATCTAACATTTTGCGACATCAGTCCATGCGATCCATCGTCGGTTAAAGTATGGGGAATCCATCTGGTACAAAGCTTCCTGACGCCTAAATGTTCGTGTAATATTTCTTGACTCATACCAATGCCTAGGCTTGCCCGTTTCTGCTGATAGGTCACTCTCTTATATTCCTCTATCATGCGTCGCACAGCACTCATGTTATCTTCTGTAGTTACTGTTAAAGGAGAAAATCTCAATGATGATTGCTAGGTCCACGCTTAAAGTCGTTAAACCAATTGTAAATAGTGGCACAAGATGGGGCTTCATTAGGAAATGCTAAGTAAGCCCATAACGAAAGACATAATAAATCATTGGGCGAAAATTTTCTCGCGTTAGGTTCATTTTCACGTGTAACAAGAGTTTTAGATTTGCCGCCAATTCAAAAAAACAAATGACAAATGAATGCAATACGAGGTTTGTTCAAAAAGTATCGTGAATTTAATGTTTTTTCAAGATTGTTGTTTATTAGATTGTTTTTGACCATAAATTCGCGCACAAGTTACGATTTGTGAGCAGGGGCATTATGGTGCAAAGCCAATATCTGTTCTTCCACAAATCCGGGCGTTTCTGGCGGATTGCTTCTCGCAAATTGCGCATTACTTTAAGGTAATATTTATTTTTGACCGTTCTACCCTACGGCAAGAACTCATAATGCACCACGCCCCTGCAATCGAAGAAAACTGTCAGCATAACCTTGACACTCGACCGAAATTGGCGTGCTTTTTTCAGTCTTGGCTCGTGCGGCAGCTTCCATTGGGATGATTGAGCTTTGGTTTCTACGTCATAACCAAAAATCCATGATTCGTTACCAGTTATGACTCTCTGGAGCAAATTTGGGTCGTCACGGACAGAATCCAACAGCTTCTGAGCAATGTTAACACTCTGCCTGTCAGCAATATATAGCATGGTTACAATTTAGCAAGCCATGGAGTCCGCCTGCGGGTGCCAACGATTCTGCTGCGGTAGGCCGTCACTCAAAATGAAAAAATATTACAGCAGGCCGTAGAGTCCGCTGGCGTCTAGTTAAGAATGCTTTTAGCACGCCGTGGGATCCGCTGTGACCCCCTAAATTCAAACAGATATTTGTACTACAGGCCTGCTAATAAGAAAATGATATGTACGAGGGGAGGTCCAAAAGTTCGTGGAATGAAAGGGTTTTAGTGAAATGAAACAGTAAATTTATTTTTCCTTTTCAATATAATCACCCTTAAGCTGAATACATTTATTAGATCTATGAATTAATTTTTCTAAACCATCGTAAAAATATTTTTTATCTTTTCCCTCAAAATGAGCCAAAATTGCCTCCTTTACCTCATTGTCGTCGGAAAATTTCCTTCCCCTTAAGTCTTTTTTTAAATTGGGGAACAAATAAAAATCACTTGGGGCCAGATCTGGACTATAGGGTGGGTGGACTAGTGATTCGAAGCCATGCGTGTGTAGAGCAGCCATTGCAACTTTGCTCTTGTGAACCGGCGCGTTGTCTTGCAAGAGCAACACACCCTTGGTCAATTTTCCCCGACGTTTTTCTTTGATGGCATCCTTTAATTTTTCTAGTATTGTTGCGTAGTATTCTCCGGTTATGGTCCTGCCCTTTTCTTTATAATCAGTATTATCCCCTCACAATCACAAAAAACAGTAGCCATCAACTTTCCAGCCGATTCCGACACTTTGAATTTTTTTGGCGGTGGTGTCCCCTTTTTATGCCATTGCATGGACTCTTGTTTGGACTCAGGCTCGAAGTGATGAACCCATGTTTCATCGCCGGTAACAATTCGCTCCAAATCGATCCAGGATCGTCGCTACACAACTCCAAAAAATGTTTTGACGCTTCGACGCGCTGCTGTTTTTGAAGCGGCGTGAGCATTCTCGGTACCCATCTTGCACTGACTTTTGTCATACCCAGGTGGTCATGTAGGATTCGCAAAATTGTGGTATCTGATACTCCAACTAATGCAGATAACTGTTTTTTCTTCAAACGGGTGTCCTCCAGTACAATTTTTTCCACTTTTTCGACGATGTCTGATGTGGTGGCCTCAACTGGCCTTCCTGAGCGGGGGTCGTCTTCAATCGACTCCCGACCATGTTTAAAAAGACCATGCCATTTGTAAATCATTGATTTACTAGGGCACTGTTCCCCGTAAACAGTTTCCATTTCATTCAAAATGGTCTGAGCGTTCTTTCCTTGCTTGGTAAGGAATTTAATGACAGCACGGTGTTCAATTTTCTCCATAGTTTCAGTTTTCTTCCGGATTGACGTGTTTAGCAGGCGAGTGTTCGTAAACGAATGACGCAATATTCCATTTGCTTTTGTTACACACTCCCTCTTGAGGGGTGTGTTTAAGCCCGTTCGGGGCTATGCCCCCTTCGGGTGGAGTGATTTCTCGCGCCCTGCTAATACAGGGCGGTACGGGGTCGAGGTTTCTCCTCTTGGTGGGGGCTGCAGCGCGCAAGGAAGCGTTGGCCTCAACTCGCTGCGCGCAGCCGATGGGGTCTATTCCGGGGTGTCAAGTCCGGTGGTTTGGGGCCAAGGAGTATTCTCGACTTGGCCCTGGTGTCTCGATGGTTGGTATTGGGCAGCTACGCGGCTCGCGGTCAAGCTCCGCCGGGTGAGACCCCCGGTGGCCCCGGGGGGGAGGCCCAGCGAGGCGACCAGCGGTCGTAGCCGCGGTTGCTGCCCTGGTGTCACGTCCGGTGGTTGGGGTATCCGCGGAGAATAGCTCACGCGGATACCTGTACTTGTCTGGTGGCCTGGAGTGCCACGGCGCGATGTCCTTGAGGTGGGGATGTTGAGAGGCGTCCGCTCGATCAAACGGCGATGTTAAGACACCCTGCTCCAGTAGGCGCCTGCGGGTTTGTGCGAGATATTCGCACATCGCTCGTGCGAGCCCGTCCGTTGCGTACCGGCCTATGATTGTATGCGCAACAAAGAGCGCATCCATCTCATAGCCGGCCCGCGCGGATACGGGCTGCGATGGCCGCAGGTCGCCTTCTAGGTACGCGATCAACTCTTCGGGATCGCGCCCATGAGCAGGGTTGTCACCTTGGTAAGATAGGTCTGATAAATCTTTACTTACAGGATTTATTTGAGGTTGAGGTCGGTGCGGGGTGGCGACAAGGGCGCTCTCGTCGTCCGTATACCGCGACGAGAGCTGCGGCCTTAAATCGCCTCCGTGGGCACTTGAACTTTCACTTTCACTTAAGTTTACATTTAAATTTGCATTTAAATTTACATCCGAGGTCGTACGCAATATTCTGCGTTGGTCACTAATTTCCTCCGCGGGGGAGGGGTTGTGGGGGGCCGCTGCGACGGGGTATACTTCAGCCGTATACCGCGACGAGAGCTGTTCGTAAGAAATGTTTTTATTTACACTGTCTTCGGCTCCCGGTCCCAGGGCTCGATCGCTACGCGAGCGAGAGTCAAACCTGGGCCGGTCTGCCATACGCGACGCGGGTGTATTTGTGGTTGACGACGGCGGCGGCGGCGCGGCTCCACCGCGCGAGCGGGAGCGTTCTTTGGCGCGCGGGCCAGACTCGTCGCGACGGGATCTTCGCTCCATGGCGGGAGCTGGAGTCTGCCAGGCACAGCCTGGACACCTTAGTTTGGTCCGCGCATGCGCATCCCCCGGTGAGTCCCGCTGGTGGGAAGCCGGGATAGGCGCAGCACTTTCCTTACCTTAGTGCCGGCGTAATATTTAGTACAGGCGGCTCCCTCGTATGGTGTTTGTTATTATCTTTACTTAATAAAGATTTTAAACAAAACGCGATAAAAGAAAAGGCTCGTGTGATCAACCGGGTGGCAGACAGCTGTGCAGAATGACGCAATAGGGCTGAAACTCCATTTATATACTAATTATGAGTCCCCAATTAGTATGACACTAAGCGAGCGCCCCTATCCCCACTCCATTCCACGAACTTTTGGACCTCCCCTCGTATGTATAGTATTCGTTTGCGCATACAGTAAGCTACGTCATGTTGAAAAAAAAATCATGTCAATAGTTAGGTAACCAGCGAAGGCAAAAGGGTTTTTAAAAAACAAGATGTACGTGTGTTCTGCTTGAAGAGCAAAGCAAGACTTATCTTTATTTAGTATACAAACTTAAATCAAGACTTATCTTCTATACTTAAATAAACAAAGGGTTATAATCTTAATCGTAATGGCTTCCTGAAAAGTACCAGGAAGTCATGTGTAATCCATAAAGTAATCTTATTACCTAATTATTTTGAGTAACAAAGGTGGTCTTTGTGTAGTGACCTTGTTACGAGGACATAACTCCTCCCCCCTTAAGATGGCGACGTAATGACGGCTGCGACTGGCTGGACTTCTTCAGGTTCAGGTTGGTGTTGAGCTGTGATTTTCGCCGATCTAGGTTTCCACCAGAACTTGTAAACTGCTATTCCAATTTCAGCGATGAATACTAGGGTGTACATCGTTATAGATGGCCAGCTAGGTATTGAAGGTATTGTTTTTATGTCTTCTTCCGAGTTGTTGATTTCTTCCGAATTTTTTATAGCATCCTTTAGGTTGTCTAGCTTTATGTTGTCTAGTTTCAATTTAATCGGTGCCACGTATGGTGTTTGGTATGCTCGGGTTAATAGTACGGTTTATCTAAGGTTGATGTATCTCTGATGAGTTGCTAAGATTTTATCTTGAATCTGGTTTTGCAGTTACTGTCTGTTGTTATTAGGAAAACACCTTTATTTCGTTGGTATTGAACATCCTTGTTGCAGATGGTTTTTATAACTTCTTCTTGTTTCATGATTACTATCCAGCTATTATCTTTGATTTGTTGAATGATGTTATTTTCGTAACTTGCTGTTGCATAAGTGCAGTTATGCAGCTCCTGATGTTGTATTAGTTGAGCTATGCAATCGTTGAAGTGTAATAAGGTTTGCCATTCAAGATGCTTGCAGATTACTTCGTTTTCTGTTATTCTGCTACAGGGTTCGTGGGGGTATGCAAACTCGTTATTTCTATCTTGGATAAGGTAAGGATTTTTGGGTATGAGGATAGTGTTGTTATTATTAGGGAAAGAATATAGGTGTAGGTTATATGACTGTTCCGCCACTAAAGCTATGTCCAGAATAAACTTTACTGTTTCATTAGTGCTGTAGGCTTTTACTTTGATGGCCTTTTCCCACAAATGATTATTGTTAATATTTGGGGCGAATGCTAAATTACCGTTAATTTCATTTTGTATTTGACTGAGTTCTTCGATTTAATACGAAACATCGATTATGCTAGGGTGCATCTTTTCTAAGTGCGAGAATGTTATCGCATTTTCTAGGGTTTCTAATCTATCGTAAAGTTGCTGAAGTGATCTTTCAATTTGTATGAAAATAGTTACTGTTAAGAAATTGGTTTCGAATTCCGTCGTTTGTGCAGTGTATCTATCTATTGTCCTGTAGATTTTCTTTTGATTACTTTAATTGTGTTTAAATTATTTTCGTAATCTCTCGTGAAATTTTTCATTATATTTATGCTCTTACGTTGGTTTACTTCATTGTTATTCATTGATGATTTTATTAATCTTATTTCATTATCGAGTTTGATAGCATCTTCTTGGTCGAGGTTTCCTGTGATAGATTTTATAACTGAACCTAAGCCGTGTATTAAGCCACGTCTCTGGCGGTAACTTGTATTGAAACCTAAGGTATTAAATCCTAAATAAAGTAACTTACTTTCTATGTCATCTATGAGGTAATCTATTTGTTTAAAGATATTGTTTAAGTCTACTGAACTGTTTTGTTTCAACTTTAGTGTATAATAATTGCTACATATCTCTACGTATATATCTCTAATTTTTGTTGTATTATAGATAACTGCTAAGTGATAAGTGTCGATCTGATATTGAGCTTTTGCTTTTGTTAATACCAGAATACCATTATGGTTATCTATTGGCTGTATGGTAGCTGTTGTTGTGGCGAGCTGGAGCACTGCGAGGCAGGCGATGGCGTTCCTGAAACATTTTCCGGGCGCCTTAATAAGCGGAAGTGGACTCTAATCGTTTTAGCGTTTACATGTTTTCCTATGATTTCCGCGATTTGCTCTGGGTGTATTCGTACAATCGTATAGGGTCCTAAGTACTTTGGTTCGAGTTTGTTGTTTCTAGCCGTTTTTGCTACTTGTTTATATACTATGTCGCCTACTTTAAATTGTGCTGTCTCTTTATTTTTGTAAATTTTTTCTATTACTTGTTGTTTTTCGGTTAATAATTTGTTGTTTATTAAGTGTTGCGTATCTTCCATGATTTGTTTATGTTTAGTAACATATTCTTGGTAGAATTCTTTGGGGCAGTGTAGTTCTAATGGATTTCTATTGTCTGTATGTCCGTATAGGAGTTCAAAGGTGATAAACCCTGTGGCGGAATGAATCATGTTGTTATAGGCTATTATCGCGTATTTCATTAAGGGCGCTTTTAGTGTCACGCGGATTTGCTCACGCACGCGGGATTGGACCGCATGCGTAAAATTTCACGCTGCGGATCATACGCAGCATGAGTTTCAGTTTTCTACGGGCTGCGTAACGGTACAGACGTGTTCAAAAATGATCAATGTCAGAAGAATATGTGTCGCTTACATACTTTACAAACGACGAAACAAGAAGACAAGAGTACATGTTGATCCCTTTCTTGAAAATAGGCTTCTTGCTGGGGCGTTTGTTACACGCTTTGGAAAACTACAAAATAATGAACGTAAATTTAAAATTACTTTCGAATGTCCATTCGTTCTTTTGATGAACTGTTGTGTAAAATTGAGAATAAGCTACAAAAAAGCAGTTTACGAAGGATTACAATACAACCGATTGAGAGGCTCGCTATTACATTAAGGTAAGTTTTAAATTTTAAATATTTAATTTCCTGCTATGATTTAGTGGAAAGGGATTTGAACAGGTAGGATAAACGTTTTTTGACTTCAAATTACTGTCATGTGTAAATTTACATGTGCAAAAAAAAAATTTTGTCATGTACTCTGAAATTTCATTGTTCATAATTTCATTCAATTTCATGTTGAAATTTCATTAAATAAGATTATTTCACTCATAAAATGTCGCCATTAAAGTGGAATCATTCCTACCTTTCATCACACGCTACTTATTATAATATAGATAAAAGTTATAGGTTTGCACATGACAGTAATTTAAAGTCAAAAAAAGTCCTTAATTGGTTTGGGATTGGTACGTTCAACCTACATACACAATCCTTTTTTTATCTGATAAAGTACACATGGCCACAGATCAAGTTACCCAAAACCAGCATAAATGGAACTCGCGCCTTGCGTATTATCATACTTAGGTAACCCGTCGGAGTCCCGCTTATACTGGATTTGAGTAACTTGATCTGTGCCGTGTGTACAACCGCACTCATATGACTAAACAAACAATTAGAGAGAAACTGGAGAAAAAAAGTTAATCGTACTCATTTTAATAAAAAGAGTTTTATTCATAAATTAAAAAATCAAATTTTACATCATTCATTTCTTTGTAAATTTGTATCCTGAGCGTTGACATTACTTTCGCCTGTAGATGATGTTGTTGCTGGGGTATAAATTACGTCATAAGACGTGATATTAAACAGGCCGCTTTCAGTCGAAATAAGAGTTTCATTGTCATTCACTGCAGCAGAACTAATAGCATTGTCGTTAAGACTCGAAGTATCCTGGATTATACTATTGGTTTGGTGACAATTTATCGGTGACAAACTGTCAAGCTCAGTAAAAGCACTAGAACTTGTTGTAGGTATGGGACTGTAGTATGCAGGTTGTGTTTGACTTTCCATTTCCATAACTATATTTAACACTTTTGTTCTGAACATTAGTTTTTGATATCTAGTGAATCTTTTTAATGAAGGCTGCAGAGACTGAAAGAAAGCCAAATCCTCACTTTCTAGCTCCAGTTGATTAGACTTTAAGCATTCTAATAACTGTGCCTCAAATTCAGATGGTGCTTGCTTTTTAGATTTTACTTGTTTTTGTTTTGATGTTGGGTGAGAACTTTCTTGACGTGAAGTATCTGGTTGCGTGGACTCATTAGGTGTTTCTAAATTACTTTGTTCAGACATTTCTTCACAGAGTGACTCTTCTCCAGCAGTTTCCGTTGTACTGTCTAAGAAAGTCAAAATGTCATAGTAAGAATATTTCTTCTTCTTCTTCTTACTCCCAGAGCCGGATGGCTGATTTTTTTCAGATATCTTGTCTTTCTGGTAAGTGTCCCTTGCTGTTCGCCAGCGTTGTTGTATTTTCTTGTCTGAAATGACAAAATATAATAAGTAAGTGGCAAAAGTACACACAGTTTCAGATCAAGTTACCCAAAACCAGTACCAATAAACGGAACTTGCTAGGGCCTCGCCGGGCGCCGAGTCGTCTACGATAATAAACAACGCATGAGTCCTGTTTATACTGGTTTTGGGAAGCTTGATCTGTGGCCGTGTGTACAAATCTGATATTAGTTGGAAATTTAACTGCATTCGATTAAAGGCCCTCCTTAATTCACACATGTTGTCAACTTTACACTGTCTCATGAAGCATTAGATAAATCAAGCAATATATATATACCTATACAGAGTGGAAAAATAAGGCCGCAGTTGAAGGAAAAGTACCCTTAGGCGCAACGCAAACGGCGGGCCGGCGCAGGCCGGTCAATTTCGCCGCGAACGATAGCGCAAAGTGAATCTTATACTAGACGCAGACGGCGCGGCCGGGGCGGCGCGGCGCAGACATCGACGAAATAATTCATTTTTTACAAAAATAATTAGAACTTCATTTAAGGATTTTTGGAAAAACACCGGATTGAATCGGGCAATTTGTTTATTTGTTACAGTAAAATTTGCCATCATCAAAATTAAGGTGAAAACTTCCGGAAGTCACTAGCGCTGTAAGTTTTTAATTTGTTTTAACAAAATTTGCTTTATTTGCATCTGTCAACCTTCATGAAGGAGGACATCTTGTAATGTAAATATTGCCTGAAATAAACGATATTTCATTATATTATATTATATATATTTATTAGATTCCTTTCATTTGCCGGAAATTTTACCATAGGGGTTAATTTATACAGAGAAGATTTCTTATAAAATATTTACAGCATAGTTATGTGTCTCAAATCTGCTAAAAGTGGCCACTTTTAGCAGATATGAGATACATAACTATACTTCGAACTTTTCATATGAAATCATAACTGCATAAATACCCCCTATGATAAAATTTTCGGCAAATCATAGAAATCTAACGTAGCTATAGTACTGTAGTTAAAACGAATTAAAAACTTCTAGCGCTAGCTACTTCCGTGCCCTTTCACCTTAAGGGTATTTATTTTTCTTCTGAAGTAAAATTCGAGCGGTGCATGCTGTCTTATGTCTGATGTCAGCATTATTAATATATTATGTTATCATATTATTAATATATTGTTTTTGTTTTCAGATATTTGGCAACTGGTAATACATTCACTGATCTACACTATTCCTATGTGATTGGAATTGCAACAATTAGCGAAATAGTAAGACAAGTTTGTTACATAATATGGATTGAACTAAAGTCTGAATGTATTCCACAGCTTAATGGGATCAAATGGAAAGAAATCGCAGAGGGATTTCTCACATATACAAATTTTCCTAATTGCTTGGGTGCAATTGATGGAAAACATATAAGAGTGATTCGGCCGCCGCACAGTGGATCACTATATTTTAATTATAAGAAATATTATTCTGTAGTGCTCCTCGCAATGTGTGATGCTGATTATAATTTTACATATATTAATGTCGGTACCAGTGGAAGCAACGCCGATTCAACCATCTTTAGAAGGAGTCAATTGTATACGAAACTGGAAAGTAACACGTTGGGTATCCCTGACCCGCAAGAGTTGCCTATTATTTGCCCCGAAGTAGCTTATCCATCTAGTGTAAGAGCAAAGTTGCCGTTCGTGATAGTGGGAGACGAGGCATTTGGTTTATCATCACATGTGATGCGGCCTTATGCTCGTGATAATTTACCTTACAAAAGAAAATATTTAATTACCGTCTGTCCAGAGCTAGAAGGTACATAGAATGCACTTTTGGAATTATGTCAAATAAATTTAGAATATTTCACAGATCCATGAATGTCAAGTTAGATCTAGCACAATTAATAGTCAAGACGGCATGTGTACTTCACAATTTCATAAGGAAACGGGATGGCTACAAGGTCAGCCATACATTTGTCACAAATGGTTTTACGGGACCACTACCCAGGCAGCAGACTGAAAGTAGTAATACGTCGGCAAGTAATATCAGAGATATATTTGCAGATTACTTTATCAATGAAGGAAAAGTCTCCTGGCAACACCGATATATAATTAATTAACTAAACTCAAAAGGTTTTAGAAGGTTTTTGATGTTATTTGTGAATTAAATAATTATGCTTATATTAATAAAGTAATGATGCTTGTATAAATAAAATAATGAACCAAACACATACCCGCCTCTTTTCTTTCCTCTTCGCTCAAATTTTCGTAGTTAGGTGCCAATTCCTTCAAAATATCTCTCCATGCAGCCTCCCTCGCGTCCCTGTTTTTGTATAATTCATTGCGTTTATCCCACAAAACGGGCCGCAGATGAACTTCAATGATTACTCGTTCTGTATCGATTTTCATTTCGGTAGTACAATACGGCGCGTGCGCCCCGCTCGACTCTAAAATGGGCACTGAAGTTGTAGGCAGCGCTTACGCATGCGGATACCCCGCACCGGGGTGACGCCCCGCACAGCGCCCCGCGTCCCGCGTGCGTTTATCACGCTTTACAATAGATACCTATATGAAATTGTTCTTTGCGGATGCTACGCATGCGGTCCAATCCCGCGTGCGTGAGCAAATCCGCGTGACACTAAAAGCGCCCTAAGTTGGTAGATTCATCTTTGTCTGTTAAACGCTGTATTCTAATGATTTTTGCTAGTGTGGAGTTTAACCTTTCTAAAGGTGAATTAGAATTGGGGTTGTAGAGTGTGGTGAAATGTATGTGTATATTGTGTATTGCACATATGTCTGTTATTATTTCATTGTCAAATTTTGAATCGGAATCTGTTGTAATCTTTTTTGGTACTCCTACTACTGAGAATAAACTTAATAGGACCTCAGCTATGTGAATGCTGGTTGAAGCGGTTAGAGGTATTGCTTGGGCGTATTTTGTGAAGTTATCTATGATAGTTAAAAATGTTGTACAAGTCGTCGGAAATATCTGCGAACCTGGCTTAATGACGTCATACAAACTGGAGAGATACCAAAAAAATTGAAGATGTAAAAATAAAAAATATTTTATTTGTGTACTTATTTTTATTGATACTCGTACCTACTTGAAATTTACAAATACTTATTATTTACATTATTTAAAATTCAAATTATTTACAAATTTACAAATAATACAAAGAAAAAGTAGAGAGGAAGAGAAAGTGGCGAAACTATTCTAGAAAAGCCTCGACACCAGACATGGTAGCGCTGTCGTTTTCGTCATCTTCTATATTATCACTCAAAATGTTGTCTTCGGTTTCGCTGTCACTGTCTTCTCCTCCTAATGAAATTATTAATTCGCGTTCTTCATGTTCATATAATCTGTCATTATGCCAAAACTTATCTCTTAAGCGATCAACATGGTTGCATTCTTTTTTCCAATCTTCCGGGGTTATACTTTGGATCGCTGCCTTTGTTAACCTTTCTATATCTTTTTCTGATTGGTCAATATTTTTGTCTGCCACCCTTTGTTTCATCAAATTCCAAACATACTCAATAGGGTTGAGATCACAGTGGTAGGGTGGCAGACGTAATACCTCATGTCCATGAGCTCTAAATATTTCATCGATGAAATATACCTTCTCAGGTTTATTTCTTTGAATCAACATATACAGTTCTCTTTTAGTCATTTTGTCATCAAATTCGATGTTGTGTTCTTGCAGCCATGTTTGCATTTCGTTTTTACGTGCACTGAAATTTGGCGGCTTATTTGCCTGCTTACTGTGATAGGGCGCGTTGTCCATGACAATTATTCCGTTGGGTGGAAGGTTCGGTATCAATTTCTCTTTAATCCATTTGGTAAAATTGGACGCATCCATTTCGTCATGGTAATCACCGGTTGTTGATTTACACTTATATAGGAGCTCGGCTCCTTGTATGAAACCGTTCTCATTACCTGCGTGTACCACAATCCAGCGCTGACCAGGAGAGTGATTTATTCGGACACTGGAATCACTACTATTTTGCCAACATTTTGAGACAGTATAGTGTGAATGTATCCAGGTTTCGTCGATAAATGTAACTGGTTTTTTTTCGGCACCACGTTCGTCATTTTCTTTCAGTCGCCTTAAATATTTTGCTCTCCAGGCTGCTATTTCAGGTCTTTGCACCAAAAAATCGCGTTTTCGTTTACATTTTTTAAAGCTGTACCCCAAATCATTTATTAGTATGTTTCTTAGGGCGTCTTTTTGGCCGGGAAAGTTGAGCTCCCGTTTTGCTATTGTAAGAATCTTTTTTAAAGTAGGTATTTCTTTTCTTGTGGTATAAAAACTTTCAACCAAAGAGCGTATCGCGCATAAATCAAAATTATCTAGATCTATTTTCTTTTTGTATTTTTTACGCTTTTTCCCTGGTGTCGAGAGCTTGATAGTGTCCGTGGCAACTGAAGCTGAAGTACTTGGTTGTGGATGCTCACCATCTTCGAAGGACGTCATGTCTTCCTGAACATTCGCTGCTCGCGCTGTTTCTGTTTGTATTTTTTTTTGCTTCACGTTTTATTGTCATTATTGTCGTTTTAGATAAACCAGTTGCAGCACAAGCCCTTTTTGTTGCTTGTTCAACCGGCACAGTGAAAGAGCCGTGTTTTTTTTTCATTTTCAAAGAATTGGATTACTTTGAGCACTAAATTCCGCTCTGCACTATGTATAGTCCTACCCATCTTACATACAGCACTAAATAGGTAGTTTATGTAATATTTCACCAAACAGAGAAACAATAAACACTAAAATGCGATTACGAAAGCAAGAATAATACACGTGCGTCGGCGATTGCGTTGGCAACGGTACTGGATAGGCGAAAACGGGGCGGGGTGCGGGGAAGCGCCAGGGGAAGCGCATTCCAGCGAGGTTCGCAGATATTTCCGACGGCTTGTACCTCCGCTACTGTACAAGTCCATAAACATATGTTCCATTGGTTTATGCGGTGTGTCTGTTAGAGATAGGGGTAGTTTTAACGGGTTACGTTCGTACTTGCTTTTTAAGCAGCTATCACATTTATTAATAAATTTTTGGATTGAAGTTAGCATATTAGGCCAGTGATAGTTTCTATGAATATGTTTGTAAGTTTCTTGAATTCCTCGATGTATATATATTGTCTTACCTTCTGATCAACTCTTTTTGTTCGGGAATATTCTCTATTAAAGTGACTCTATTCATGCATTTTATTAATTTCGGTCCGCGATTTTTAAATATAGTTTTGTATGCTTCACAAAATATTGGAAAGTATTCCTCGTGATGAAAATAACAGTGGAAAATTCTATCTGGTATTGTGTGTTCCTTTAGGAATTGTATGATTTGCTCTCTTGTATTGTTTATTGGGATCCATACATCTTTAATTACTATTTTTCCTTTTGATCTATCGTCTATTCTATATGAATCTCCCGGTGTTTTTCTGATATGAAACTGTTTTGATTGTCTATCAATTGCGTCGTCTATTTTTGGTATGATATCAGTGGTTGTTTTATTAGTTTTTGATTGCGTGGGTTGTATTTGTTTTTGATGCGGTATTATAATGTCAGGTTGTGTTTCAGTATCTTGTGGTTGATTTGTGTTATCGGGCGTGATTGGTATATCTAATAGCGTTCTAATGTCTATATTTTCAAAGTCTATGTCTTCCGCTGCAGTACTTGGTTGAGAGTTATTAACATTTGTATCTAATTGATTATGGTGTATTATTTGTACTCTTTATAAAGCGTCCGCGTTTGTGTTGGCTTTGCCTTTTTTGTATTGTACGTCATAGTTATATTCTGCTAGTCTTAGACGCCAACGTGTGAGCTTTGAGTTGGGGTCTTTTATGGACATTATCCATGTTAGCGGGCGATGGTCTGTGTATATGGTGAACTTTTTACCATATAGGTAAAGGCGAAAGTATTTTATTGCCCAGACTATACTTAGAAGTTCTTTTTCTATTGTAGAGTATTTTTGTGGTGTCTGATAATGTTCGAGATGCGTAAGCTACTGGTTTATCTGTTCCTATTGTTCCTTGCGATAGTACTGCGCCTATTGCTACGTCTGATGCATCTGTGGTGAGTATAAAGGGTTTGTTGAAGTCCGAATACTGTAATATTGGTGCATTAATTAACACCTCATTGCATTTTTCGAATGCTTGTGTGTATTCGGGCGTTAAGTTGATTTTTTACTACCTTTTTTTAAGCACTCGGTTAGTGGTTTGGTTAATTTTGCAAAGTCTTGTATAAACTTTCTGTAGTAGCCTACTAGTCCTGTAAATGATTTTATTTTTTTCTGTGTTTTTGGTATTGGAATTTTTTTTCTGCCGCTATTTTGTCTTCGTTTGGCATAAGGCCCTTGTTTGTTAACGTGTGTCACTTGCGTTTGTAGAAATTCTGACTTATTTAATTGGATCTTTATGTTATGGGATCTGAATTTTTCAAATAACTGTTTGCATTTATTTAGGTGTTTCTGTAAGGACGTAGAGTAAATTATTACGTCATCATTCTTGATGTATACGTACCTACGTTAGTACGTTGTCTATGCCTCTTAGTACCGATTCCATTAATCTTTGAAAAGTGCAAGGGGTATTTTTGAGACCCATTTTTTGAGGAATAACAAAGCCATTCTATCTAAAAAGGATACTAGAGTTTTTATATATTTTCTTAAGCATTTTTTAGATACATTAAATATTTCTATTTGCTGGTAATTTCTGTTATAATCTGAAGGTATACGATGCATGACTGAGTTACGTAAATAGTTTGAATTAAACCGAGGAATTTTAAATAGTTGGGTTTGCCTTGTATTGTGTGAAGAAAAACATCTTATCATCCAGTAGTATCCCCAAGTCTCTAATCAAATTCACCTGTTTAATTGTTGTATCTCTTATCTTATAACAAAATTGTATTTTCTTATGTTTGAGAGTAAAAGTAATTTTACTACATTTTCCAATATTTAAGGATAGTTTATTTTTTTTGTAGTAAATTTCCTATCTACTAAGATCCTGTTGAAGTTGAACACAGTTATCTATTTTATATAGATTAATTATAGATATATTTAATTTTTAGACATATTTTGTCATCTACAAACATAAGATATTCTAAATACTTGAAACAACTCTTTATATCATAAAGATAAGAATTAAACAACAACGGACCCAGTATAGAGCCTTTAGGTACACCGGATGTCACATTTATAAATGTGCTCCTATGTCCACCCGTTACTACCGCCTGCCTTCTATTAGTTACATAGGATTTGATCCATCTGTGTAAATCCCCACGGATTCCTAGCGCTAATAGCTTATGGAGGAGAATGACATGATCAACTCGATCGATAGCTTTTTCAAAATCCGTATAGATCACATCAATTTGTTCTCCTTCGTCCATTCCCTTTAATATGTACTCGGTGAAAACGGTAAGGTTGCTGACAGTTGAACGATTTTTTGTAAAACCATGTTGCTGCTGTGGTAATTGTCTTAGGATAAGAGGACTCAACGTTTTGTTAACTAATTTTTCAAATAATTTACCAAACGAATTTAGAATTGAAATTGGTCGATAATGTTCTATTTTATTTCTAGACCCTTTTTTGTGGATCGGAATAATGTGGGCTTCTTTCCATTTGGATGGGAAACTACAGAATACATTAAGCGACTGATTAAATATATTTGTCAAGGGTTTAGAGAGTTGTCTATAGCATTTTTGGAGAAAAATTGAATGTATTCCATCACTCCCTGAACCTTTATTAATATTCAAAGATTTCAACTCTCTACAGACTTCATCCTCGGTCAGTACTACTTGGTTACATGTATCATCGGATTCAGGTAGGTGTTGAAGATTGTAACTATCATCTGGGTGTTGAAAAACACTTTAAAAAAACCTGTTGAACCCTTCGCAAGCGTCTGCTTCTGTATAGTATACTTCATCTCCGAGAATCATTGTGTTAGGGTAGCCTGGGCTACATTGGCGTTTGTTTCTCAGATATGACCACAGCGCTTTGGGATCCTTACTCAAATTATTTTGGATACTCTTCTCATACATATCAAAGCACTTCTTGGATACAAGTTTTTGCCTAGCGCGTAACAGCGAAAATTCATCATAGTCTCTTGGATTCCTATAAGTTTTCCAACGCTTGTGAGCTTTTAATTTATCTTTTATTATATGTATCAAAGAGCTTGAGTACCAAATAGGGAATTTACTTCTGCCAATACTCCGGCTTTCAGGGACAGAACTTGAAATTATTTTATCTAATATTACATTGAAATTACCTATCACTTCATCAATAGTACCTCCAATAAAAACTTTTACCCAATCAATATTCGACAACGCTTTATTAATATCCTCGTAGTTAGCACGACGAAAGTTATATTTTATTTGTGCTTTTGGGATGGTTTTACATAGAACTAAGTCAGTAGCATCGATCTTTAAGCAAGGATGATAATATATGTCTGGTTTAACTAGCGCCATATCAGTTGTCGAACTGTCGATGGAAACATTACTTAAAATTAAATCGAGGACATTATTGCTACTATTATACGACAAATTATGCTGTTTTAGGCCTGAAATATTAATTTCATTTAAAAATATTTTTGAGACATTTTGTATTTTAGAAGTTCCTTTTTTTAATAGAATGGGTCCTAAAGGCGTCCAATTAATATTTGGGAGGTTAAAGTCACCGACTATTATAAAGTTATCACTTATATTTGTGTCTATAATGTGGCTAAACGAGGAAATAAACGTTTCAAGTCTTTCAGCCTGCATAGAGTCTGGAGGTATATAGACAAGACCGATATGGAGACTGCGCCGGTCGTTGACTGCCAATGAATTATGGGGTATAGTTATCCAGAGTGTTTCAACACTATTGCAGTTCCACTCAGCCCTCTCATATGCTTTTAAATGACGAGATACATAGATCAGCAGCCCACCGCCTATCTTTTTACTGGAGGTTTCTTTTCTTCTGTCACGTCGAAACATCTGGTACTCATCATTGCATAGTTCATTATCATAAAAACTGCTATTAAGCCATGACTCAGTTATCAAAATAACATCGAAAGTACAAGTAAGAAGATTTTGATAAAATTCGTTTGATTTTGTACGCAAGCCACGAACGTTTTGATAAAATAGAGTTAAACTTTTGTCAAACATTGAAATACCTAGAGATTATACCAACTTTAGTGTAAACTTTTAATATAATTTTATTTGGCTTTGTTATTAAGGTGCTATAATTATATTTCAATGAACAATGAAATCTTAGGTTTTGAAATGAACAGTTTAAGTAGTCTATAATACTAAGATTAATAGTGAACTTATGTATCGTTAATATCATCACAGAATTTGGCCCATATGGAACCAGAAAATGACGTTTAGTAATTTAAAGAGGCTAAAACAAAGGAAATATCTTAGATCTACTATGAAACACGCAACTACTCCCCAATGATATACGATTAACAAATAAAAGTAGGTTTATCAATTTATTTTTTCCAAATCCCGTTCGAAATTTATGGTTATAGCAGGGGACTCTTCGTTTCGGCGTAAAAAAAATCCACAGTTACGAACCAAAACGTATTTAAAACCTGTATCGATTGCCAGCCCTTTCGCCTTCTTAAGAAGATGCTTATTATCTGGGGTCAAATGCTCATTTACATAGAATCTTTTCGAATCCCCTGACATTCCTATATCAGATGTATGAATTCCCCGTTTTTTACGTAAGCCAGATAATATTTTGTCTTTTATTTCGCGTGTTTTCAGGCGCACCAAGATTGTTTTTGCTTTGCCTGGCATAGATTGCTTCGGCTATATGCGGTTAGCAAATTCGATCTCATCATCCCGCAATACTACGTCTGCATGTTTTGCTATTGTTTTTACTAAGGCGCAAGTAGATTCATTCTTGGTTTGTGGCAGTCAATCTCTAAATTGTTCATTCTGTTCCACTGTTGTTGCTTATTTATTTGGCATCGTAGTTCGTCTATAATATAATTATTATTTTGAATATCATTATTTAACTTATTTACTTCCTCTCTTAGACACTCAGTTTCCTTCAAGAAGGGGTTGATGAAAGAATTGATCTCTTCCCTTATCTCGACAAAGAGAGACACTTTCAGTGACTCGAAGTGACCAAGTTTGGAATCAATAGCCTGGTTAATACCCTCAGTGATTAATTTTTGCAAATCGTCCTTCGATACGAAGTGGTCACAGAGCCCTGTATCCTTTTTATTGCGTGGTGTCGTAGCTGCTTGAACCTTCTCAGGAGAGGTACTCTGACCACGATGTTCTCTGCGTGAACAAGGCGGACACGTCCAGGAATCGATTTCTACATCAGACATTATATTCACACACTTATAGTGACACCCTCTAAAGCATTTCGTACATCTGATTTGTTTGCTTACGTCTAGATCCCTGGAGCAAGCAATACACTTAGGCATTATGAAATATAACTATGATTATTCAAGTGAAGATTGATAAAAAAGAAAAACAAAATATATGTTATAAGACGTAATATTCAGATGGTAGTTATGTGTGCGTCAAGGTTCGATCCACAGCAACCAGGTGCACGAGCCACGATGCTGTCAACAACTTGCTAAGTGCCAACCAAGTATTTATTTGTATGCCGAATAAATCGTATACAACACAAATTACGATTTAACGAAAATATTCTGTATGTTATACTTTAGAGTACTCGATGACCAAACAACAAGACACTAATAAAATTCACTTCACTGTACTATTTCAGTTTTATGCAACGATTATACTGATATTTAACTACAGCCAAACGAGGAATGAGCAAGGCGGTATGGCGGTTAACAAATTGATCGATCACGGCCTAATCACTGTAAATATCACTATTATTGATTGCTCACAAATTACGATGGAAAACAATTGCTTAATAGTTCCCTCGTTTCAAGCCTTAATGCACTAAATCTATTTTTAATTCAAATTAATATACACAGGTGACATTAACTGTGCCGCGGTACCCACACGAATACTTTGTTACTCAATCGGAGCAAAAATTATATTTCTGTATGGCGGGGAAAAAATGAAAAACAATAAAAATTAAATTGGGTAACGGTTTTGAATACCATCGCACTTTTTTGACGATACTAATTATTTAGGAGTCTCGGAGGACCTTCATTGGAACACCTCCAAGTGAGTTTTGCTCCGGAAACGCGTCAAAAAAACGCGTTTTTTTTTTTTTTTCACCTGGGGAAACCCGATTACGGGCCCCCGCGCCTGGGCAAGTGTGATTGGCGCGGGGAGTGTGGGGATCAAGGTCGTAAAATGCGATGGTCCCCATACCCACTAAAACCACCAGGGCCCAATACATAGCCATAGCACGTGTAGAGCAGTAAACAAAAGCAAAATAAGCAATATAGCAAAATAAAAAATCGGTCAGTCAGTGTTTAATTTATAGACATATTTGACAGCTTTAATTAGCTCCAAAAATGGGTCTTTTTTATGTTTTGTATTGTTTCGCCGCCACAAATATTCATAGACATGATCTGAAAAATTTTCAGAGTTATTATAATTATCCTTTTTAAAAAATCTTTTTACTGCCCTCCACTGTGACTCAATCCTTTGCGTATGGGTTCCATCTTCAGCCACAAACGGGTTTTCAGGGTCTGAATGATTCACTTTTTGATGTATGTACCCATGGTCTGCCAGACAATCGTATGCTTTCCAGAAGTCAGTATGAATGATAGTACCAACTTCAACATGTTTTTGAATGAGAGGAAGTAATATATCAGCTGATCGAATATTATTTGGGCACACTTCCAATCTTAGGTCTTCAGATTTGTCTTCGATCATACCAAGGACCCAATAGCCCTCAATATGTCGTCCTACAACAATTAAAGAATTAGTTAATAAGCTTAATGAGTTAAATAAATTTTGTAGATGTGATAATAATAGGGTTATTGGACAGCTCTGGTTTTTAAATTACACTCTAGGAGTAAAACAGACTAATAACACATATAGTAAATATTAATTAATAGTGCTATAAAATAATTACCTCGATTATATTTTCTTTTCCCAAATTTAGATTCATCAATCTGGACTATCTTCCCTGGGCCACCAATCTTTCCTACCGCTTGAGTTTTATCCATTTGATATATAACTATAGTTTCCCTACAATAACTATACCAATCACATATAGTAACTCGGCTTAAGGATTTAAGTCTATCATCTTTATATGGATCTTCACGCATGGTTGTAAGATAGCTCCAATTTTGCGAAAACGCATATAATAAATAGAAAACATGAACTAATTCTATTTTAATATTTTCGAAAAATGTTCCTTTATTTCTAGGAACTTTAGTTTTTGATCTGCAATTTCCTTTCGTGCAACACCATGAACCAAATGTTTTATTCGTCGATTTAGCAATTTTCATGGGTTTACGATGTGTACTACATTGCTTTTGAGAATGCACTAAACCATTTTCTTCAGCGAATGCCACACACTGCTCATTGGTACCTAATTTTTTATATAATCTAATCAGATTCCACAATGAGACCACTTCCTCACTATTCAAGTCACGATTCACAACGGACCCATCGTCCTCAAAATCATTTTCACGAGTAGAACTTGTAGACGCCATCACTATAAATCTGAAAATGATCGCGAGAAATCAGTGTTGATTATGTATGTAAAGCCAAGTTTCAAAAAATGCAAATAAAATAACGCACTTTCACGTGAAAATAAAAAAGAAACGGATTTATAAAGTAAACTTTGCACTGTAAAACTAATTACCGCTAGTCTAGCATAAACCACATTCAAAATGGCCGATTAAGTTTATAAAATTAATAGGGATGTGAAAAATAATCGATTTTTTTTAAAGTGAAAATCGATTTTTGTATTCGATTTTAATATTAAAAATAATTGAAAATTCGGCGACCAAATATTCATATACTAACTCTAACCTAACCAATCTAAATAATATTTGTTTTTGTGGACAGCTCCGATCTAAATAGAAATTGTTTATTCAAGCCTCGGCTTCTCGGCGTCCTGGTCGCCTTCGGCGACCAAATATTCATATACTAACTCTAACCTAACCAATCTAAATAATATTTTTTTTTGTGGACAGCTCCGATCTAAATAGTAATTGTTTATTCAAGCCTCGGCTTCTCGGCGTCCTGGTCGCCTTCGGCGACCAAATATTCATATACTAACTCTAACCTAACCAATCTAAATAATATTTGTTTTTGTGGACAGCTCCGATCTAAATAGTAAGTGTTTATTCAAGCCTCGGCTTCTCGGCGTCCTGGTCGCCTTCGGCGACCAAATATTCATATACTAACTCTAACCTAACCAATCTAAATAATATTTGTTTTTGTGGACAGCTCCGATCTAAATATTAAGTGTTTATTCAAGCCTCGGCTTCTCGGCGTCCTGGTCGCCTTCGGCGACCAAATATTCATATACTAACTCTAACCTAACCAATCTAAATAATATTTTTTTTTGTGGACAGCTCCGATCTAAATAGTAATTGTTTATTCAAGCCTCGGCTTCTCGGCGTCCTGGTCGCCTTCGGCGACCAAATATTCATATACTAACTCTAACCTAACCAATCTAAATAATATTTGTTTTTGTGGACAGCTCCGATCTAAATAGTAAGTGTTTATTCAAGCCTCGGCTTCTCGGCGTCATGGTCGCCTTCGGCGACCAAATATTCATATACTAACTCTAACCTAACCAATCTAAATAATATTTGTTTTTGTGGACAGCTCCGATCTAAATAGTAATTGTTTATTCAAGCCTCGGCTTCTCGAGCGTCCTGGTCGCCTTCGGCGACCAAATATTCATATACTAACTCTAACCTAACCAATCTAAATAATATTTTTTTTTGTGGACAGCTCCGATCTAAATAGTAATTGTTTATTCAAGCCTCGGCTTCTCGGCGTCCTGGTCGCCTTCGGCGACCAAATATTCATATACTAACTCTAACCTAACCAATCTAAATAATATTTGTTTTTGTGGACAGCTCCGATCTAAATAGTAAGTGTTTATTCAAGCCTCGGCTTCTCGGCGTCCTGGTCGCCTTCGGCGACCAAATATTCATATACTAACTCTAACCTAACCAATCTAAATAATATTTGTTTTTGTGGACAGCTCCGATCTAAATAGTAATTGTTTATTCAAGCCTCGGCTTCTCGGCGTCCTGGTCGCCTTCGGCGACCAAATATTCATATACTAACTCTAACCTAACCAATCTAAATAAAAATTTTTTTTGTGGACAGCTCCGGCGCTACGGGAAATGCAGCCCCTCCACCCTTGCGTACCAAAGCACAGGCATTTTATTCAAGCCTCCGCAACCTCGGCTTTTTGGTCGCCTTCGGCGACCAGCCTCAGCCGCTACAGCTTTCATAATGCCTGTGCTTTGTTACAGCGGGTGGGGGCTGCTCTTCCTCCGCGCCTCCGATTATTTATATACACTCTAGGGGTAAGACAGACAAGACCACGTGGATAGTGGGGTGCTCTGATTCGGTTTTGGGTACTTTTTGGATATTAAAGTAAACACTTTATTCTAGTAAAAATTAAATAATATAGAAAGTTGCAAACAATGAAATACAAGTACTAATTAGAAAATACAGACGAGTAGGTATCGATAATTTCAAAAAATTTCGGAACCCTATAATCTATCAACACGAAATTAGGTTAATTTCAATGTTGATTATTCTATAACTTTAAATTTCAAAAATGAGGAAATAATCGATAAATAAATAAAACGATTATTAACAATCGATAAATTAAAAACACGATTTTTTTAAGTGAACGTCACATCACTTATAACCAATAGAAAAGTAGAAAATGGCGGATTGTTTACAAATTTTAATACATTACACAAAACTTTAAATTTTTTATAAAAATATTAAGACGCGTTTCCGGAGCAAAACTCACTTGGAGGTGTTCCAATGAAGGTCCCCCGGACACTCCTAGATAATTAGTATCGTCAAAAACGTGAGGTGGTATTTAACACCCAACCCTTAAATTGACAAAACTTTATTATTTTAGTACAAAAACAAGAAAAAAACATGCACTGAGGAAAAAAAAATAGTTTTTGCTGTGTTTATTGGCAAAACAAGACGCGCAAACACTGGGATACGATGGGCAAGTGTCATTTGACTTTTTTCCATAGGACTTTTAGTTTTGCCGGATATCGAGATAAACCGTTTTTTACCCTTAAAGCTACCCCCCCCTCCCGACTTCAGATCGCCCGTAAATTATTTTTCCTTTAATTTTTATAATATTCTCCTCCCTTTCCAATAGGTTTCATCCTACTACTGTACTTGTTTTTTTTGTGAGTTTCTTGACCTCTACGCTTGTTTTGCCTTCTTGTCGTAAACTTTCATAGCAGTGTATAGGTACACTTGCGACGTATAAGTAGATTGCGATGGTCAGTCAAAGGGTTCTTTCCGAACTCATGTGTGGTTACACCAGGATCGGTAGCACGGCGCTGTTGTAATTTCATCAACTGTATTATACAAAGGTTCTCACGAAATTTCGTATCTGTATAAGTTTTTGTTGTTAGTCTTTTGCGAGACTTGTATATCAACAGACGGCATTTACGACAGACGTAGTAAGCTTACTGCTAACTCAATCTTAGTTAGCTTACTGCTAAATCAAAATAACTTCAATTGCCAGTTTTTGATAACAACGTACGTTTCTTCTTGAAGTATTGCGACAGGAAATAGTTTGACTTCATTAGCATACGAATTTAGAGTGCCTTCGTGTACTATATCGCAATTTTTACCTGATGTGCTGGACGAAATTTATGAAAAATTAAAACACTACATTCAGGTAAGAAAATTAACTTTTATTTGGTGTATCTAACAATCTAGGCATTATGATAAGCATAATTAATAATTATCAAAATTTAATTCTCTATCCAAATGAGAACCTGATACGCTTGCAACAGCTTGCGAAAGTATGTCCTCATTGTATGTGTAATACTCGTCTTCTGCATCATTATTCGTAGCAGTACTAGTAGCAGCAATTGACTCTGATTCTGATGAGGATTGTGCGACTTGCTGATTCTCTGGTATAGTAATGGTAATAGTTCTGTTAGACTTCATACAATCCGACATTGATGATGATGTACCTCTTAGTGATAATGATGTCTGTTTTAATAGCTTTATACGTTGCTGTCTTATAGTAGCCAATATTACTTCTTCGGTCTCTAGGGCAGCTTCTAATGGAAGCTGCCGTAACTGCTGAGCTATAGTGCGTCCGAAAAGGTCAAATTCATCATCACCTGAGTTATTTGAAAAATGCTGCGATGAAACTTTTTCTAATGCATCAACTGCTCTAAGGAGCGGATCTTTTAATTTCCTTTTATTTCTTGAAGTTGTACGTGGTACAGTGAACTCTTCATCGTTGGATTCAGAAACTGAAGCTTCTTGAGTGTTGGGTGCGATGTTTGGTGTCTGAAACAATATATTACTACCCATGTGATCAGAAAAATCAACCGTGCTTTTGTGTTAGTTGTATTCGGCAATTACTAATGGTTTTAAAGTAGTTTTTCGCCTATTTCGCTTGCTTCGGACTGTTACGTATCCAACTGAATGTTTTGTTGATAACTCGAGAACGTCCCTCTTGTCTTTCCACTTTAAAACTAAAATTCCGTCATCATTTTCTTTTGCTATCGTCTCACCTTTTTGCAACTTTGTGGAAACAATGTCTTTTGGAAACCCTCTTGGATTTTTTCAAACTGTGCCAAGCAAATACGTAGACCGATTTAATATTTCGCATCAAAGTATTTCTCACTCAGTTTCATGACCACATCTCTAGATAAATTTTGTCCAGGCGTCGTTTTCTTACCTTCATAAACTATCAGATTATGTACATAACCTTTTTCGTTATTTTAAACAGTCTTATCCCATATTTATGTTTCTTTCCGGGGATATATTGCATGAAAACAATCCTGCCACGGAAAGCAACCATTGTCTCATCCACTGTTAGATATTCGCCAGGTGTGTTAAAATTCAGATTTTTTTTTGTCAAGTCGTTTCACGTTCGTGACGTTTCACTCAGAGAAGTCTTTCACCGCCAGGTGACAAATGATAATATGTATCCTCAATGTGCCAGCACCGCAGCAGCAATTCAAAGCGATTTCTGCTCATTACTGAACTAGCTACGGGATTTTTGTATAATATATTTTGACTCCAGTAATCAGATATATTAGGCAGTTGTTTTATACCCATCCATATCAGCAGACCATGGAATTTCTTCATTTTATCATGATCACAATCCTTCCAATCAACTACAGTCTATTTGACCGTCTCAAAACTGTAACTAACATCGTTTTATTTGCGTAACAGTTAGTCAAGTTAATTATTTCTTCATCCACAAACAAACTATACAATAAGGCCTCGTTAATCCGGAGAGGAAATATTTTTTATTTTTTTAAGACTTAAAAAAATATTGCTTACGAACATTTCGTGTTGAGTCGGAATCTGCCTTCTTTATTTGTTTTCTACTTCCACATTCAACATTTGAAACAACATACTGCTGCCTCTGAGACCAGGCCATTTGTTTCCAAAAAATATTAGGAGTACAAATAAGTTTCCGCCGTTTTTTGTCAAAAATTAAATATTTGTTATAACAGGTGTTTTTTTAGAGGTATAGAACTTTAAATTGCAATAAAACAACGATGGATTATTGGACTGACATGATTTTTTTTTATTCGAAAGATAATGTTGTGGCATTACATTTTAAATATGATTTCTGGCATATGACTGCCACGGCTGGCTCGGCTAGTCCAATCTGGACGTCCAATTTTCGATGACTTTTTCGAACATTTGTGGCCGTATATCGGCAATAACACGGCGAAGCTTGTCTTCCAAATAGTCAAGCGTTTGTGGCTTATGCACATAGACCAACTTTACATAGTCCCACAGAAAATAATCTAGCGGTGTTAAATCACAAGATCTTGGAGGCCAATTCACAGGTCCAAAACGTGAAATTAGGCGGTCACCAAACGTGTCTTTCAATAAATCGATTCTGGCACGAGCTGTGTGACATGTTGTTCAATTCAGGAATGAAAAAGTTAGTAATCATGTCTCTATACCGATCACCATTGAATGTAACGTCCTGGCCATTATTGTTTTTGAAGAAGTATGGACCATTGCTGCCACCAGCCCATAAAGCGCACCAAACAGTCAGTTTTTCTGGATGTAACGGTGTTTCGACATACACTTGAGGATTAGCTTCACTCCAAATGCGGCAGTTTTGTTTGTGGACGTAGCCATTCTACCAGAAGTGCGCTTCATCGCTAAACAAAATTCGCTTATGAAAATCGGGAACAACGGCAATCTCGTTTTGGGCCCATTCGACGAATCTACACCTTGCTTGATGATCGTTTGGCTGGCTTCAATTCTTGCACAAGTTGGATTTTGTAAGCACGCAAACCAAGATCCTTCCGCAAAATCTTCCATAAAGTGGATGGACACAGCTCCAATTCCTGTGCTCGATGGCGGATGGACTCATTCGGGTTTTCCTCAATGCTACGCTCTACAGTAGCAATAGCTTCTTCTGTACGCACCGTACAGCGTCTCTGGGGATGCGAGTTATCAATTGGAGTAAACGTGGTGCGAAAACGCTCCATGGTAAATCGAATTAACTGCTCTGATGAACGATTTTGTGGACGATAAAATGGACGTAGTGCACATACGTATTCCATAATTATTATTATTGAAATAAAATTGCACAATTTGCAAGCGTTGTTCAGGCGTGAGTCTATTCATGATGAATTATTGCCAAACCAAACTTAGAATAAATCATTTGACAGCTGTTAAATGAAAAGTAATGCCAACTTAAAGTTCTATACCTCTAAAAAAAACACCCGTTAGAAGAACAGTAATATAAATTTATTTAAAATGTTGCCCATCACTTGCAACCACTTTTTCCCATCTCTCAGGCAGCATTCGAATCCCACGTCTGAAGAACTCCTTGTCTTTTGAGGCTATCCACGAATTATCCAAATTTTTGGTAAGATGTGAACCGCTGCGCCGACAGAGCATGTGCCATGGACTGGAACAGGTGATAATCGGAGGGTGCAATGTCTGGTGAATACGGCGGGTGGGGTAACACTTCCCAATCAAGTATTTCCAAATACTTTTTCACGGGAGCCTCAACATGTGGACGAGCATTGTCATGCAGGAGAATAATTTTTTCGTGTCTAGAATAGTATTGAGGACGTTTTTCCTTCAGAGCTCGGCTCAATCTCATCAATTGTGTTCGATAGAGGGCTCCAGTAATTGTTTCGCTCGGATTAAGCAACTCATAATACACTATAGTCTACACCTAGCTGATCCAACCAAATACACAGCATAAGTTTTTTTCCGTAAATATTTGGTTTCGCTGTTGATGTTGACGCGTGGCCAGGTAATCCCCATGATTTTCTTCTTTTTGGATTGTCGTGCCGGAATCCTTGGCAGCGATGACATTGGGTGAGGCTCCTTTTGCCCCGCCAGGACTCGATCATGACCCCCGGAATGCACAGTAATTCCTTAATGTTGTATATCACGGGGGTAAGGTCGGGGGTACGTCGCAAAATTACAAGGAAAATGCACCCCGGTCTTCCCTTCCTGGCGCGTATCGGTTGGCGAGGCGGTTGTCGCGGCGTTTATGTTATTACAGTGGAGCGTCGATTATCCGAACTAATTGGGGGACGTGGGTGTTCGGAAAATCGGTATTTTCGGATAATCGAACTATTTTGAAATACATATACGAGTATATACTATAATCGAAGTACACATGTATTGATTCAGCCATATATATTTACGTACAGGTAAATGATTGTCTTTACTAGTTACAATTAACGCTTAAAAAAATCTGGAATCTTCTTCTGCCGAAGCAAGCCTACCCGCTTACGATCGGCTAGATCATGTACTTTTTTGAGAACAGATATTTGATACTGGTTGCTCTCGGCCTGAGTTTCAAACCAGCGCAAGGCAATATCTAAGCAAGTAAACGCTTCAGAAACACTTGTAGTAACTATGTTTTCATCTTCATTATCTGAACTTGTAGTTGATGTGGTGCTAGCGGTGGTGCCAGCCTTATTAGTCATGAAGTCGAAAATTTCGTTATCCTGCATAATTTGGTACCCGGGATCTTCATCGTCGATATCCATCCATTCTTGAACCTGTTCTTCATCACATTCGTGGCAATCGAGATTTTTTAGCATATCTATCATTTCAGACATATCTTCCTGTTTCTCATTTACACATCCATTTTGAGGATTTTCCCCTATACCCAAAACTTTATTCCACGCTTTTTTCAATTTCTGTTCTTTTACACTGTCCCATGCTGCTCCGATTATATAGGACGCGTCTTTTAAATCAATCTTTTTACGATTTTTATCAGGCTTTCTTCTCCATCCTCTTCTTTTTCCAAAAGTAACTTACGTAACAATTTTTTTTCTATAATATCGTTTGAAAGTCTCAATAACGCCTTGATCCATGGGCTGTAATAATGAAGTCACGTTAGGTGGAAGAAACATGACTTTTATAAAGTTGTCTTTTTCATTTAAGATGTCACATGATGGATGAGTTGGGGCGTTATCAAGAATCAATAATGTTTTCTCTCTTTTACCATTTTTTAATTGGTGGGCTTTTACAGAGGGTATAAAAGTTTCTATAAACCATTTCACGAAAATTGTACTATCCATCCAAGCACTCTTTTGCGAAGTATAAACGATAGGCATAGCAGACATATTAACGTGCTTGAAACAACGTGGTTTCTTACTTTTGCCAATTACAAGCATGGGCAATCGGTGGCTGCCAGTAGCATTAGCGCATACTAAGGCAGTGATACGATCCTTGCTTATTTTAGGACCAGGTGCTGCTAATTCACGACGTGAAGCAATAGTTTTTCGCGGCAAAGCTTTCCAATTAAGCCCGGTTTCGTCTGCATTGTAAACATTTTCCAGAGCGTAATTTTCTTCGTTCAGTATATCCCTTAGTTCAGCTGCTGATGAAAGATAGACAGATAGTTTTTCTCCTTGTATTTGAAGCTCACGAATGCCATGTCTTGACTTAAATCGTTTTAACCAGCCTGTGCTTGCTTGAAAATTAGATGTCCCTCCTAGTTTGTCGTTAAATTGAACCGCTTTTTCACACAGTATTGGGCCAGAAATAGGTTCTCCCTGGCATCTTTTTTGAGTAAACCACTTATATACAGCATCATCTAAATTCGTGTTTGAGGCAAGTTTCATCGTATTACGACTCGTAGATCCGTCAGAAGAATCAAGCTGGGATATAAAGTTATTTATGCTCTTCTTTTGTTTTTTTATATCCGTAATGGTAGACTTACCAACTTGGTATTCATTGGATAACTTGGTTGCAGATTCGCCTTCCTCTAACCGTTTATTAATCTCGTATTTATCTTTCATAGTAAGGACAACACGTTTACGTTTAGGCATTTTAAAAAAAGAGTTTACTTTCACGCGGCAAAATTTAGTTTATCGACTAGCGGTTACTTGGAAGTTATATATGAGTACAATAACAAATGAACGAGGAGACAAGTGCGCGAAAACAGAAGCGCGGAAGGCGTGAGCATGGGGCGCGCGAGGTGGGGAGAGCGTTGACCCGCGCGTTATTACTGTTCGGATAAGCGGTCTTATATAATGAATATTATAATTACAAGGAACAGATTAGTATAGTCCTTTTAGCTATTGTTGATGCACAATATAATTTTCTTTATGCAAATGTCGGTGCTAAAGGTAAATCATCTGACGGAGGACTATTTCGTGAAACAGCATTCTATAAGAAAATGACTGACAAGGCACTATCGTTGCCACCAGTGGAAACTTTAGAACCAACTAATGTGCAATTACCCTAAATACTCGTTGGAGATAGTGCATTCGCGTTGTCTGAAAATTTAATGAGACCTTACCCTGGAACTTACGAAAAAGGTAACATAAAACGAATTTTTAACTACAGACTCTCGCGAGCACGAAGAATAGTAGAAAATGTTTTTGGTGTGATGTCTGTTGTTTTTCGTATATTTCGGAGCCCAATTGAACTTAAATCTGATAATGCTGAGCTTGTTACTACGACTTGTGTATATTTGCATAATTTTTTGAGTCGAAATAAGCGTTCCAGAGCCTTGTATACTCCACCAGGAACGTATGACAGAGAAGATTCTGAATTTAATGTTATGAACGGTTCTTGGCGTAATGAAGTAACAGGAAATAATCTACATCCTTTAGGAGATGTCAATGAAAATTTAGACACGTCTCTGGTACCATCCATCATAAGAGATAGTTTTTCTAACTATTTCATTAGCGAACTAGGGAGGGTGTCTTGGCAAAATTAACGTGCTTAAATAAAACAAATATGTAGGGTTAGATGAATGAATATCTAGATGGAGTGTTCGGCTGCAATCGCAACGTACAAAACATTTCCTCAGCCAACAAGTGGCACATCAATTTTTTAGCGTTTTGGCGCTTGAACTGTCTATCTAGACATTAACCCTAGAAAGATAATCATATTTTGTAATACGGAAAAGATAATCATGCGTAAAATTTACGCATGAATTTGAATTAGTTGTAGGTCTAAGTTTAATAGTTAATAGTTAATTTTAATGAATTGTATGTTATTATATATGTAAGGAAAACATAATATTTAATATTTTCCTATACAAACTCTTTTTATAATTTATTTTTCTTCTTTGCCGTCTGATCGACGATGTTTAATTTGTCACTTGACATAATAGATGTAAGATGTTTTAATTTTTTTCATTACATTATTTTATTTTATAAAACCTAAAATAGAGGCTTTAAATGTTGTTTCTTTTGTATTCACAGAGAAACGCAGTTGCGCCTTATTTATCCCCAGTACTCGTATAAGCGATCGATACCATTATAAAACAACATTTTCTGCACACATTTTACGAAATATGGAAAGATTGAGAAATAAAAAAAATAATTATTTATTGATTAATATTTGCATAGACACGATCGCTACAACTGGTGGACAGGTTTTTTCAATTCCGGCCGAGTTTCAGCCTGCAAATTTACACCAAGCTGTCATAAAAACTCCCAACTACATTAAAGTAAAAAAATCTTTAAATAAAAGATATCAAACTAGAAAAGTATGGATAACCATTACAGAAGAGTTATCAAATATATCTTTAGATGAGGAGCAGAACATACAGTTTAATGATTTTTACCTAAAAGAAAAAAGAAACGATACTTCAAAGAAAACAAATGTCAAATTCCTGATGTACTAGGTGACATAAATAAAGAAGACTTTCTTTTATATTCTGAGGTATTAAAAATGAAAACTTCTAAAAAAATGTCAAATTCCTGATGTACTAGGTGACATAAATAAAGAAGACTTTCTTCTATATTCTTAAAACAAGAAGATAAAAACGGGGACAATAGACCGGTTGCTTACTTTTCAAAAAAATTAAACGAAGTTCAAAAAAAGAAGAAGGCGATTTATTTAGAATGTTTAGCAATAAAAGAAGCTGTGAAATATTGGCAACACTGGCTTATGGGAAAAGAGTTTACGGTATACTCCGATCATAAACCCTTAGAAAATATGAACATCAAGTCTAGAACCGATGAAGAATTAGGCGATTTGACATATTATTTATCCCAATTTAATTTTAAAATTAAATATAACCCAGGAAAATCAAATCAAGAAGCAGATTGTTTAAGCAGAAACCCAGTTCTAGAACCTTATGATAATAATGATGATTTTTTAAAAGTAGTCAATATCATAAACCTAGAAGATATAAAGAATGACCAAAACATAAATCTAGATATAGAAAAAGAAAAACTTATATTTGAAAATGAAATTTACCATAAAAAGAATTCAAAAAGTAAAAAAATTATACTATCTGAAGAACTTAGCAAGACTCTTATAAAAGATGTCCACGACACTTACTGCCACATTGGGAGAACTCAGATGATAAGTAAAATAACACCATTCTACACAGCAAAGAATATCATAGCAAACATTAAAAAAATTTGTGATGAATGTGAAATTTGTATAAAAAACAAATCAAGGCGGAAGTCGAAATATGGCTTAATGTCACATCTGGGTCCACCAACACGCCCGTTTGAAATTATTTCTATTGATACCATTGGAGGCTTTGGAGGATCACGGTCGACAAAAAAATACTTACACCTTTTGGTCGATCATTTTACAAGATATGCATATATTTTAACATCAAGAAATCAAAGCTCCAGTGATTTTATTAAACTAATTAAAAATGTGACACAGAGTCATAATATTGATATGGTACTAACCGATCAATACCCTGGAATAAATTCTAAAGAATTTAAAGAATTCCTAATAAATGAAAATATACGAATGGTTTTCACTGCTGTGGATTCACCTTTTTCAAATGGACTTAATGAAAGGCTTAATCAAACCTCACAAGATACACATATATTGGAATAATTAATACTGCAAATAATTTTTTAAACTCCTTTATTTGTATTAAAAAAACCAAAAGTTTAAACGTCTTCTATAAATCAATAAAATAGTATAACACTTACTCTTTCTAATGAAAACTTATATTTTATTCTAATAATCATTCTCATTTTAAGTATAAAATCAACAGGAAGCTTTTCTTATAATTTAGGAACATAAATTTACATAAAAGTAAGTTACAAACAGCTTTGGCACATATCAACATTATGCTCACGACATATAACTTTTTACATTTTTTGCAGGACGCATTTGCCTTTCTCCTTTTTTTAGAAGGGCAAAAAGAACAATAAATCCTTTTTTTTGCAACTGGCTCATTGCTATGGTCTTCGGATGTATCAGGCACTTCAATTGGCAACATATCAGTGATTTTGTCTCGCAAATATCTCTTCAATTTAGGCACTTCTAAACGTCTACGCATAAACAAAGAAGACAGTCCCAAGCTAAGATTTTTCATAAATCTTTTGCGACTTAGAGGCTTTTCTCCTTTCCGATTAACATAATGGCTGTAAATTACATATGCATTAATGCAGGCAATGTTTATCATTCACAGAGACGTACAACATTGACGAAGATCGATCAAAGAGTTCGTCTGTAGACATATGATTATCTTTTCTCACTGCTGTCATTACCAGAATACCAAACAAAGCGCGAATTTCATACTCATCTGTATCACGAAATGTAGCACCTGTCATTGAAGCCCGTCTTTTCAATGATATCTCGGCGTTAGTCCAACGTACGATTTCCATAATTATCGCATCAGTAAAAAACATATTGAAGCATATGACGGGGTCATATATATTACGGCACACGCGGCTTGGACCTCTTTGAGTTCGGACAACATTTACCGCCGAGACTCTACCACGCCACGTTGGCTTTGACGTCGACCAACAATATTTATTCTTACCTCTGACAGTCCTCTGTTGCAAGGCTACGATCCTACGAAAGGCCGATGTGGAGACTGGTTGCTCAGTATTGCTTTGCTCTTCTAAGATATTACATCCGCTTGGCGTCGGCTGTTCTTCTTGTATATCTCGTCTACAAACCCTTCTTCTGTGTCACTTTGCACTTCATCTTCACTTTCATCTTTCTTTTCTTCTTTCTACAGACATTGTTGCGCGTCACGTCTCCACTCGACAACAATTGATGCTCAACTACCTTGTACTCTAAACAAACAAAGAGCCGCGCGTCATGTTGCGCGCCAGCTGGCAACGTCGCGCGCTGTTGTGCAACGTTGCTGAACATGTTGAGCGTCACATGACGTGCGCCAAATGTTGCCTAGTGGAAACGCGGCTTTAATCGCTTCCGCTTGAAGTCCTGAGTCTTTCATCACTATCACAAACACTTTGTACACTGTGACCTCGGGGTCGGTCTGTGACGCGGGATAATTGGTAAAAGTTTTTTCCTCCGCGGGGAAGGGATTGTGGGGGGCCGCAGCGACGGCGTATACATCGGCCGTATACCGCGACGAAAGCTGTTTCTGAAAAACATTTTTTTCGCCCGGTTCTTCGGCTCCTGGACCCGGGGCTCGATCGAGAGCCACTCAGGGACCGGTCAGCCATTCGCGACGCGGATGCACTAATTGACGACGACGACGACGGCGGCGGCGCGGCTCCACCGCGCGAGCGGGAGCGTTCTTTGGCGCGCGGGCCAGACTCGTCGCGATGGGATCTTTGCTCCATCGGGAGCTGGAGTCTGCCAGGCACAGTCTGGACACCTTAGCTAGGTCCGCACATGCGCATCCCCCGGTGAGACTATCAGAACTTGAGAATGGTTCCAAATACTGCTCATCCATAAAAAAGTCTTCATCGGAAGAGGAAGACAAGGAAGTTGGAAGACGTATTTATGATAAACCTTTCCTCCTGCATCTCCATTAATCGATCTTATTCTATGAACTGATTTTCAATTTTTATTACATGTTCACAAGATTTTCGCCATTCATCGATCCCTATTTGAAAGAAAGCTTCTTCTGTTAAAGATTTTATACCACTTGCAGGTATAAAATCTTTAACAGAAGAAGCTTGCTATTGACGTTTTTACCCGCAACTTTTTGTTTCATTATTCCCCAGATTAATTCTATGGGGTTTAACGTATATAGTGGGAGCCTCAAGAGTTCGTGGCCGTGTGATTTTAAAATCTCATCTATCTGATATTTAGGTTTAGACTTATGATTTTTCACTGCTTACAGTAATATTGACATTAACGCCAATTATGGTCGTAAGGGATTTTGTTTGATTGAAGTCATTCTTTTATAACACCAATACGGTCGGTTTGTGTAGGCGGTTTGTTTAATTGTACATAATCGTACTTAGTGTTGTCCATGACAATTAGAGAAGGTTTTGTAAGGTTGGGAATCAACTTCTTCGTAACCCATTTCGTAAAGTTATCTTTATTCATATCACGGTGGTAGTCAGCAGATGTACTCTTCGCCCTATACACCAAACAACATTTTGGCACAAAAACCATTTTCTCCACCAGCATGTACTATGATCCATCTAGGCCCTGTCGAAATACTGTTAGATGGGCCTGCAATATCTTTATTTTGCCAGCATGTAAATACATATACCCTATATAAACCACATCTAGCTTATCATCGGCTTCTCGATTCTTTTGCATACGCTCCAAATACTTGAATCTGTGTATCTTTATGTCATGTCGCTCCATTAAAATAGTCATTTTTGATTGGCACTTCACGAATTGGAATCCGATGTCTTTCAAAATAAGTCTGAAGACAAAATAAGATTGTTATTTTTAGATTATATACAAACTGAAAAAAAATGTAATTCATTTTTGTTACCTTAATGATTCTCTTCCTCCATTGAAATTGATTTCCTCCCGAAGAATTTGTAGCAATTTCATGATGGCGGCGCGGGTTGTAACATGCCTTTATACCTATTTGATTATCTAATGTTAATTTTTAAATAATAGTAGTGGACTGTATTTTATTTTATATTTTGATTGCTCAATATTTGGAAAAATTGGTAGAAAGAAAGAAAGGATATCGGCACAGTACCTTCAACCTCGTGCCTTCTTCTCGTGGCTGGATTCCTTCTTCTTTCCACCAATTAAATTAATACCTCACAGAAGTCTATACCCTGCATAATTGTAGATCTATTGGAACTATATAATAATTGTTAGAAACAAACAGTAAATTCAAAAGTTAAAAGTTTTATGGAAGCGGTGCGAGCGTGCGGCGTACAAAACGAAAACCATGTCCCGGGTCATCAAAAATGCAACGAATAGCAATAGCAAGCTTAATCCTTTTCTCCAATGTAGACGCATCGTGGTGCGCGCCACCTACAGCCCGTTTTAGAACTAGTACCTCCATAGGATTGGACATTTATTTTTTTCCAACGCCGATAAAGAAGTTTCACTTCAACAAAAGTTTTATTATTTATTTATTAACACTTCGTTGCGTTACAATATAAAAATTTAACATAATTAAATGAAAAGGAGGGCAACTGACGGCCTTATAGCTTTCGAGCGATCTCTTCCAGGCATTATTAGTATATGAGTTTTCATTTTAAGGTTGCATATGCCACTCTTCAAAATAAACGGCACATAGTGCTGGCTTTTCCCTACAGCCTTTGCATCTGAGGCTAGTTTCTCTTTTTATCTTTTTCTTGGTCCACATCTTACATTTCATGTATCAGTTACTTTTCTTGGAGATTTCCCTAACGGAAATCTTTTCAGGTCAGTGGCCATTACTTTCAATGTTTTCTTTAGCGGCTAAAAAGTTAGCTCTGTTTTGGAGATGGTTGTCAAATCTGTGTCTATTTTTGATCTTATCGGGTTTCAGGTTTGAAGAAGGAGCTTTGTGATTATTTTAATCAACTCCTCTCGGAAAATAGTGAATTCATACGCTTTGTTATTATTTTTATAATATTTGTGCAGGTCAAGGGAAAATTATCTTTTTGTACCATCTAAATGTCTTACGGGGTGTGGAGTAATAAGCCTGACATGCATTGATTGTAGGTTGAAACTTCTAAGGGTTTCATTATTTTCTGACCGTGTCTATTTGAAACTTCTACCAGCTGCGTAGTCCAAGGTGTCATTACTCGGAGTTGTTTGTCTTTATCGGAAGTATAGCGGGTATCGGGATTCTTACAAACGAGATTATTGTTTCTTTTAAAACGAACTGACTTTATTGGCTTCACTCTCCCCTTCCAAATTTGAAGTCCTAGGTTTACCAACCTTGGATCCAAGAACTTAATAAAAAATAAGGCGACAACTATTAAAGGTATAACACTGATCCAAAAAAAAAAAATATTGAATAAATTCGTGTTCACTGAAGGAATCTTTAGTTTTTAATTGTTTCAGCTTGAACTTAATTTTTGTACCGTCCGTTAATTTTTGTCGTGTAGATAATGTCTATTTCAGCTGCAGTTTCTATAATTGGAGTATGACTCTGTAGTCTTGAACATTGTAATACCAGAAACATTTAATTCATAATTTTCTCCATACAAATTTTTTGATTCTTTTGTCCATATAGTTACTGGGTGATTATTACAATGGAAGAGAAAACGCAAAGCTAATTGCAGATGTTGCTATCATCGCTTGACTCATAACACAAACAATACGCTATTAGTTTTTAGCATTTTAAAAGCGGAATTGAAAACCCAGGGTGGTTCTTTAAAAGGAAGAAAGTCAGATCTAAATAAAGCAGAAAAAGATATTTTTCAAAATTAATTGGAATTTTTTATGAGGAAAGGCATGAAGAATTTATCAATCATACTCGTATGTTAAAATTGTTAAACAAAAATTGTTTAAAAGTCCTCGACTTACGTCGTCTCAAGTTACGTCGAACAATGTTTTGACACTATTCCTCAAGCATACGTCCTTTGTTTCGATTTCCGGCATAGGAAAACAACAATTTAAAAGGAGTCTTAAAAGGAAAAAGTTGTCTGTAGGGTTTTTTAGTTTTGATGTGGATATTTCCGTACCATCTATTATAACTCTGTTAGATGGATGATATTGCTTAAATAAATCTATTTTCCATAATTCATAAACAAAATTTACCCATGTAGCAAATATATTCCCTAACAGCAGTAGTACTTATGCCAAAAAAAAATTCCATCTTAAAATCAGGTTTATTTCTTCTTAATTTAACTAACATCAAAAGAAATTGATCCTTTGTTTTTTTCTAGAATAGCGTTCTGCTAGCGTGCTGTTTTAAATTTGTAGTCTTACTTCTCTTCTTCTTGTAGTGCTTCTTCACTACTGGAGATTGGCGGTCAGCTCGACGTACTTCTTCTTATTCCTCGCCAAGCACATCAGCTGTTCTACGCTGGCCACTCCCGTCCATTCTCTGATATTGCGGAGCCACGACTTCCTCCTTCTGCCAGCGCATCTTTTCCCCTCGTCCTTGCCCATCATGATGACTTGAAGAAGTCGGTACCATTCGTGTCGAAGCACATGTCCCAAGTAACTTATCTTCTTTTTAATGGTCAAAGTGAGTTCTCGGGATCGTTTGGCGCGCCGTAGAACTTCTTCTTTCGTAACTCTATGGACCCAGTTTATCCTCAGCATTCTTCGGTAGCACCACATTTCAAAGGCTTCGATTTTCTTAATGGTTGTCTCCTTCAAGGTCCAAGCTTCGCATCCATGCCTTACAACTGGCCAGATGGAGGTGTAAACTGAGGTCTTTGTTGCAGAGTACTTTTCTCATTTTGTCGAAGGAGGCACGAGCATTTTTTATTCGGATCTTCACATCAATTTCAGACCCATGCTTCAGTCACCCATGTGCCTAGGTACTTGTATTTAGTGGCTCCCTGCTTAGTAGTACCTGCCACCGAGATTGTTGGGTTCAAGTCTTCTATTCTGGAAACCACCATACACTTGGTTTTGGCGAGGTTCATTGATAGCCCCGCTTTTTTGCTGCACTCATAGACGTGGTCATCTTGATCCCCATTGATGTAGTAAATATGTAATATGATAAAATTATGTGCATAATGTGCACAAACATATATTATGTACATATAGGTGTATTTTATTTAATTTAGATCTTATTTAAAAAGTTAAGAATGAGTCATAAAATAACAGATGTTAAATTTGTACTTTGTTTTGTCATTTGTTACTGTATCTGTGTATCTTTTATGCATGTATGTATTTCTCTGGTAGCTACAGTTCCTTCTAAATAATGTAAATAAATAAAGCTCGACTGTCGCTTATTGAGGTATAAATAAGCATCAGTCTCACTTACGGAGGTCCATTAGGGAAAAACGACTCTTTCTTACAGAGGTTTCTGTTTCTCGCTAATAGAGGTTTTGGGAACTTAAAATGACGGGTTCCGGCTATTAGGTACTGTCACTTATAGAGTTTTCTCACTTATCCAGTTCTCACTTACCCAGGTTTGACTGTACAAGTTATCAAAGTAAGATTAATATACTTTGTTAATAATTCCCATCAGTTGTATGAGCTCAAATAAATTGCTAAGTTTATTTATAACTCGATATATAATACATGCATCTTTGCCCCATGTCCCATTATGATCCTGATTACAGACGCCACCGACAACTTAGATAATCGCTCGGAACTGCAACAAATGACTGACTCAAGTCGAACCGTAGGGATGCGTCCAAAACTATGTAAGTCACCATCGAAACATGAATCAGTGACTGATTCAAGTCAGTCTGCTTCAACGCCAGAGCAGCAAATAAACCTGCGTCGATCTTCACGTAAAAGGAAGAAAGTCGAGTACCGATCTGTGAATTTATCCACTACGCCCGAACGCCCTTCAACTTCCCGACAGTCAAGGCAGAAAAAGATGATAGATATTAGGTCCTTACAGATAAACAAAAAAGCACGAGTAGATAGCTGTAAATAATATTTAATATTTAGTATATTATTCAATTATTAATTAATATTAATAATAATAATTATTATTATTTATTATTTTATTATATTAGGTCCTTACATATGAAATTGGCGTTTTGTATGGGAGGAACAAAAGTCGAATATTTTTAAATATAATATATTTAATTAATCAAAGTATGAACCATTGTTTTGCACTTTTGTCATCTCATAGGTAGTTCATTGATCCCTTAACTAAAAAAAACAGTCGGACGGGAATCAATAAAATCTGTGAAGGCGATTTGGACTGCCCCATCAGAGTTAAATTTTTACCCTTGCAAGAAGTTGTCCAAATTTCGAAAAAAAATGGTAATCTGTTGGAGCAAGGTCCTGGGAGTACGGAGGATGTCTTAGACATTCCAATTGAAGCTCTTCTAATTGCGTAGCCGTCTGTTGTGCAGTGTGTGGTCTAGCGTTGTCGTGAAGTAGCAGTGGCGTGGAGCGATTGACCAGCCTAGGTTGTTTAGCCGCTAGCTTTTCCATCATGGTTTGCAATTGCTGACAATAGACATCAGCCGTAATAGTCTGGCCAGATTTGAGAAAACTGCAATGAACATTACCGGCACTAGTCCACCAAACGCTTACAAGAAACTTTGCTGGGGTTAATTTTCGCTTGGGGCAGGATTTGGCTGGCTGGCCAGGATCCAACCATTACGCTGAGCGCTTCCGATTATCGTAAAGAATCCATTTTTCATCACAGGTAATGATTCGGTTTAAAATACCTTTATTATTGTGCCGGTTCAGTAATGTAACGCAGCAGTCGACGCGCGTTTGCCGGTTTGCTTCAGTCAATTCGTGAGGTACCCATCTTTCAAGCTTTTTAATTTTCCCAATTTGCTTCAAGTGAATTAAAACAGTTTTATCACTTACACCGCAGACTGCAGCTAACTCGTTGTTTACGCTATTGTAAACGGTAATAACATATTCACATTTGTCGATAAAGGTGTTAAGTAATTTTCCGTCTCCATCAAAGAGCGGAATAACTCATGAGAATTCACGTGGCAGTATCTTAATTTCCGTCATTTTAAGTTTGTTTAAACAATTACACAATAATAATGGTTCACAGAATTTGATCTGAACCTAAACTTATAATTAGGTACACTTTAGGGGTTGCAGAATTTCATGCACTAACCTACTTCTATGTTTCTTTAATTTACTTATTACAATTTACGTTTATATGAATTTAACTCTAAAAAAGTCTTATAACTATCGTTAAGATGAGAGATGTCGATCTTAAAAATAACAAAAGAAATGTGGAGAGGGCTGAATTTGAAAGGTGAAAAGGTGACTTACCAGTACATCGCTGCCTCAACACTCGCACAAAACATCCTTAACACTTTTGGATTTTCGTTCTTGACAAATTTATTTGTTCTTTTGAATAGCCGTTTTTAGCAATCGACGTAGTTTCCCTTTTTTAGGTAAGCAGAATTTGATGCTCGAACCGATAATTGAGAAGTACGTGCAGCTAGAGCGACTATCCTGTCCTCAGCGCCAGTCAAGTGGTGGGTCCGCGACAAAGGGTTTTTAAAAACTTAAAGTTAAAATGAATACAACCGGTCTGATTTGAGGTTCGTTTAATACTGAAAATTACAAGCGTTCTATTCTTAAAGCTAACTGCCCAACGTGACCGTGCTGCTGATACATTGTTCTCACGCTCTACTAGGAAACGTTACTTAGTAAGAGTGGTTCGTAGAATCATGTAACAGCATTTCGGCTTATGAAATATAAAGGATATGTGTACTACTATGTTGCAATGGTTTCTGTTTATATAAAATATAATTATCCAATGGTGGTTACACACGGGGTTATATAACTACATATACAAACAAAGTGTTTATAAACAAACAATCAAACATATATAACCAGTTAGTTTCGAATGAACTACCTCTAAGACAGTGGAATGTTTTCGTTTTAAGTACTGTTTTAAATTTGTAGTATTTCTTCTCTTCTTGTAGTGCTTCTCCACTACTGGAGGTTGGCGGTCAGCTCGACATACTTCTTATTCCTCGCCAAGCGCATCAGCTGTTCTACGCTGGCCACTCCCGTCCATTCTCTGATATTGCGGAGCCACGACTTCCTCCTTCTGCCAGCGCGTCTTTTCCTTTCGACTTGAAGAAGTCGGTACCGTTCGTGTCGAAGCACATGTCCCAAGTAACTTATCTTCTTTTTAATGGTCAAAGTGAGTTCTCGGTATCGTTTGGCGCGCCGTAGAACTTCTGCGTTCTCTATGGACCCAGCTTATCCTCACCATTCTTCGGTAACACCACATTTCAAAGGCGTCGATTTTCTTGATGATTGTCTCCTTCAAGGTCCAAGCTTCGCATCCATACATTACAACGGGCCAGATGTAACATTGAAGGATCTATCCTAAGGCTTCGGAGGTGTAAACTGATGTCTTTGTTGCAGAGTACCTTTCTCATTTTGTCGAAGGAGGCACAAGCAATTTTTATTCGGGTCTTCACTTCAATTTCAGACTCCCATGCTTCAGTCACCCATGTGCCTAGATACTTGTATTTAGTACTCTCTGCTAAGTAGTACCTGCCATCGAGATTGTGGGTTCAAGTCTTCTATTCTGGAAACCACCATACACTTGGTTTTGGCGAGGTTCATTGATAGCCCCGCTTTTTTGCTGCACTCATAGACGTGGTCAACTATACTCTGTAGATCAACAGGTGTTGTTGCTGCTATAAAGGCAAGGCTACACGGGCGGTTCTCCCGCCGCGGGAAACCGCTCGACAAAGCTGCCGCAGACCATCAAACTACACGAGACGCGGTTTATCGCTGCCTTTTGTTCATTTCAATATGGATCCGCCAATGATAACTGCGCTTGCAGCTCTCATATTAATAGAATTATTAAAAAATAAAGTCAAGCGCAATGTGTTGGTGCAACCAGTGTTAAGTAATCGTTTAACTTTGGGAATATTTCATTCAATGTTTAGTGCACACCGCGATAACCCTCATAAGTTCTTCTCATACTACAGAATGTCTGTGAACTCATTTAATGAACTTCTATCAATTATAAGCCAACGTATCAAGAAACAGGATACAAATATGCGAAGATCCATCACACCTGCAGAACGTTTGGCTGTAACTCTCAGGTAAATAAAATAACATTATTTTATTATGTAATCTTTTTTATTAGGGTAAGTACTGCAGAACATTAAAATAATCATCATTTTCCGTTGATGTGTCCGAAGCAGTATCGTTTTGTGGCGATGCGACACTGTTCATTGGAGATAATATAATAAAATATATGATTGGACAATTCACACCAATTGACCTAGTCCCATGCTAAGCTGGTGAAGCTTGTGTTATGGGTACTAGGCAACGGATATACATTATACATACATATTATAGATAAATAGACATATAAATACATATTTAAACACCCAAGACCTAAGCACAACACCAAATGCTCGTCACATCGATGTTTGTCTCAGCCGGGGATCGAACCCGGGACCCATGGATTCGCAGTCAGGGGTACTAACCACTAGACCAATGAGCCGTCCATGAATGAGAATGATAATGTTACATGATATGCTCTAGAGCCAGAGCTCCCAGATGAATCCTGGTTCCTCTGTTAAAGAAATTCAGATAAGTTGCTAGGAATACTGCGGTTTCTTTCGTTTCTTTGTATATTTCTGATAAATTCGTAATTTCATATCTGGTTTCCATAGCCAAATCTGGAGTCATAGAATCTATAATGGGTACAAAGGACATAAGAAATGCTCGATTTCCTTTTGCGTCACTATCATTATTTAACTTTTGTAATTGTAAACTTTCGTTCAAAATTTTTGTTATTTGAGGAATTTGGGTACTTTCCGTTTGTTTCTTTTTTTTGGGAGGAACTTGGTTTTGTCGAGGTGGTCTCATCAAATTATCTTCTTCCTGATTTTGTGATAAAGTCGAAAGTATTGGAGATACATTGGACTCTCGTTCATTTACAGTACTGACGGTAGGGCGTAAAAAGGACAAGTCAAAATAAATATATCTTTTTTTTTTTGGAGCCGATTGACCCGACACTGAGGTAGTTTCTGATTTTACTTCTTTCATATAACTATCTCTAATATTCTTCCACTTCTTCATCAGATCTTTAACTACAAAAAAGAAGAAATATGTTAATGTCGCATCTATTTCTTTTTCAGATATTAGGCTTCGGGAGCAACTTTCACTGATTTGGAGTATGATTTTCTAATTTCTCGAAAAACCATACCATTTATTGTAAAAGAAACCTGACAAGCTATATGGCAAGAATTGGCACCTTTAGAAATGCCAACACCAAATAAGGAAAAATGGATAAACATTGCTGAGAAATTCTACAAAGAAGCGAATTTTCCTAATTGTGTTGGCGCCATTGATGGCAAACATATTAGAATTACTTGCCCTCCGAATGCTGGATCCAAATATTATAATTATAAAAAATATCATTCGATTATTTTATTGGCAGTGGTTGACGCAGACTACTGTTTTACATTCATTGACGTTGGTGCTCCAGGTCGAGAAGGTGACTCGTCAATTTTCAAAAGTTCAAATTTCGGGCAAAAGTTAACTCGTTCTTAGTTAGATTTACCAGAGCCAGCTTATCTTCCTAACAATATAGGAAAACCTCCTGTGCCTTTTGTATTTATAGGTGATGCTGCGTTCGGTTTAAATAAAAATGTTATGAGACCATTTTCTTTACGAAACATAACAACGCCTAAGAAAATTTATAATTATCGACTGTCTAGAGCTCGCCGCTTTGTGGAAGAATGTGCATTTGGTATCCTCAGTAACAAGTGGCGAATTTTTCATTCAAGTATCATGATCAATCCACTGAGTGCCAAACACATTATAAAAGCAGCTTGTGTATTACACAACTTCGTAAGACGCAGAGATGGTTATCAATTTGAAGATACGATTCGATGTGATATGGAAGAATTCGATGGAGTCCAGGCAGTTGGAGGCCGATCTAGTGGCATTGCAGTAAGAGTTTCATTTGTTGAATACTTCAATGGCCCTGGAGCCGTTCCTTGGCAAAACAGGATGATTCATTAAATTAATATAAGAAATAAAATAATAAGTAAACTTACCAGCTTTGTTTTTATCTTCTGGGCCTAAATCAGCCCAATGAGCAACCACTTTCTGTCCTATTTCCATCCATAATTTCGCTTTTAGTTCGCGATTGGCGTAATCCTTCGACTGCACATCATACAAAGCAGGTCGATCTTGTATTTCTACAATAAAACGCTCCGTATCGAACATTTTGACGCAACACTAGCCACGCAAGCGCACGAACGACGAGCGAGCGCCAAGGTCCCGCGCAGAATGACGGCGGGATAGCGGGAAACCGTCAGTGTTGTTTTAAGCGTCGGTTATCAGCGGCGGTTTGACGCTGCATGCGGCGGTCGTATTTCTCCCGCCTGTGAGCCGCGACGGGAAACCGCGCAGTGCAGTATGCAGCATACAACTTCATATTAAATTGTGTCCAGTGCGGTTCAGAAGCGGTTTTCCGCGGCGGGAGAACCGCCCGTGTAGCCTAAGAGTGGTATCATCATTATTTGCCCATTGATCTTGATACCCAACCTTTTGCCTTCCAGTGCTTCAGTGATAATTGCTTCTGAATACAGATTAAATAGAAACGGGGACAGAATACAACCTTGCATCACTCCACGACAGATTGCAATTAGTTCGGTTTCGTCACCGTCCACTCTCACCGTGCTGGTTTCGTTCTAGTAGAGGATTTGTATTATCCTCACATCTTTCTTCTTTCAGATGACGCTTAAGTACATCGTGTTTAACACTGTCAAAGGCCTTTTCGTAATCAACAAAAAATATATTGACGTCTGTCTGTAAGTCTCTACATTTTTGAACGAGCATATTCAACGAGAACAAGGCTTCTCTGGTTCCTACTCCAGATCTGAACCCAAACTGGCTCTCCGAAATTTGTGCATCGCATTTGACTTTGTTTGTTAATAGGGCTCTGGCAGCGGCGCGAGTTATTTTATTAATTATACTATTGATGAATGCTTTATTCATAACATCGTTTGATAATAAAAGCCCTTTATTCGCTGACCTTTTTAACTTGCATGCTATTCTTATAAAACTTTTGTGTTCTTAAATCTTATTTACATAGTAAAAATATTAAATATATTTTTAGTGGTTGCTAATAAGCAACCACTTTGGTCAGGTTGTCGGTCGACATAGGCCTCCCCCAATTGTTTCCACGTCTCTCTATCCTTGGCAGACCTTCTCCATCCTTTTGATAGATCGTCCTCCCATCTTTTGATTTGACCTCGTTTTCTTTTCCCGTTCCTCGAATACTCTTCTATTACACCCTTACTCCATTTTTCTTTGTTGGTCCTCATTATATGTCCAGTCTAGTTCCATTGCGCTGCACAAATGGTTACGTCTCACAAGTCCCGGCCATTACTTTCCAAGGGTTTGTGTTGATGAAGAAGATATAGATTCGGGATCCGTTTCTGAGGGGAGTTGGAGGCGAAAACTTATAGCTACTTTGCCAACTATCACTGATTATATCACCAACAATGCAGCACGTACAGCACGTACAGCAAGGGAGCTTCGAGATAAATAATAAATATGCAGAGTTCTTCAGTGGGGCAGGTGCCGTATCGTGGCAAAACAGAATGATTTCATAATGTTATTTAAGAAATAGGGAAAACTAGGGACACTTGATCCCTAGGGGACATATTTTAACAATGTTATAGATATTTTAATCGATAACAACAGTAGAATTCTCCCAAATATATGGTGAACTGGTATTTTTTATGATATTTGGGTAGAAAACTACTCTCCCTGATATTATATTAGGAAGAGTTTATTATTTATTAATTTATGACCGGAAATATAAAAATAAATTGGACTCTTTCGAGTGTTTGATAAATATTGAAATTCTAAACTGAGAAATATAATACATTCAACGACGACAAAAAAAAAACAATTACAATAAAAATAGGGGATCAAGTGCCCCCAGTGTGCTTGCTCTACCTACATTATAACATAAAAAGTAACAATAAAAATTACTTACGTTTTTAAAAATATTTTTGTTTAAATCTTTTGAAAACACCTCTTCCATCTCTGTCAGCCATTTAATATTAGAAGTGTACACATTACTGAGACCCGCTCCGAATTTCTTCGATACTTGAATTTTTTTATTTTCCTGTTGGTACGTCGACCGTAAATTTTTAATTTTAACATCTACCGTACCGAATCCCGTTATATTAATTCCTTTAATTATGGAATAATATGCTGCATCCCGGTTTTGCTTTAACTTGTATTCAGGAGATTTAAAGTTCCACAGACACGGATGTAGTTTATATAACTGTATAAATTTAATAGTTGTTTCGACGTCCCATTTGATATTTGCAGACATTTTAACTTGTTTTAAACAACTGCACTCAAAAAAACCACGTGCTGCGTTGCGACAATCATGTGGCCGAATGGAGAGCGGCGAGACAGTGTACGTTCAAACATGCCGAGTGAGTGAGCAGTGTTGCAAAAGTCAAAAATAAAAAAAAGGGAGATTCTTATGCCAAAAAACGGGAGAAAACGGGAGGTTTTAAAAAATAAAATAAATGCATTTTAGGCTCTTATTACTTTATTAAACAATAAAGATATATTCATATTATTAAGGTTTAGTTATCCTCATCCTCATACCATTTCTTTGAAGCAATTTTTTCGAACATTTTCTTTTCAATATCAAAATCTTCTTCTGTAACAACACGTTTAGTGTGAAGAAGCCCTACTATAGATTCTGTGGATAATTTATTGCGGGTTTTGGTTTTCATTAGATTTATTGAAGAGAAAATTCTTTCTACATTGGCAGAAGAGTGGGGCAATGATAATTGTACGAGCCAAGGCTGTACATTTTGCTCTTTTGCCTGGGGGAGTATGTACGAGCCAAGGCTGTACATTTTACTCGCTCAGGCTTCCTTAGTTTTATAAGCTTAATTATTCCCTATGTAAGTACGTGCCAGGGCTCGTACATTCCGATCATCTGCAACCGTGATGATTTCCTATGTAATTACGTGCCAGGGCTCGTACATTCCAATCACCTACAAGCGTGATGTTTTTCTTATGTATGTACGTGTCCTGGCTGTACAGTTTGATCACTTATAAGCATGACGATTTTCTAAATCGTCGGAGTCACGCCCCGAGAGTATAGCCAAACGAAGGCACTCTCTTCGACTGTTACAGCAGTCATTCGTATCATTACAATTAACTGTATCATGGGAGTTTCACCCCGGGAGCATAGCCAGACGTCGGCACTCTCTCTGTTTGTTAGATTGCACTCATTATATAGCAATTAACATAACTATTATTTCGCTCATATTCTATTGTATAACGCGAGTGATAAATATAGTTTGTTTTTATTGACAAAATAAACACAAATCACCACAAATTACTGAACTAAAATAAAGATATCAAAGACAAAAATCAGACACTGACAACAAAATTTTTGGCAAACAAAAACAATGACAATTAATTATTAGGTTCATTCATGGTTCACTTGTTTCATTAGATCCAAATGTTTCAAATGAATTTCCTAATGCAATTTGTATAATGTTAGGTTTAGTCTGGATTGAGTCCGTATTTGTAGATTGTGTGTGTGCAGGTTGGATTGAGTACGTGTTTGCGGATTGTGTCTGTGTAGGTTGGATTGAGTACGTGTTTGCGGATTGAACATATGGAGATTGGACTGAATAAATGTCTGACTGGATGAAGTGTGTGTTTGCAGACTGAAAAGATGGGGGTTGGATTGAGTGTGCGTTTGCAGATTGAAAGGATGGGGTTTGCATTAAGAGGTCGTTTGCACATTGAATAGATGTGCGTTGATCTGAGAGTTCAACAGGTTGATTTGATGCATGAATGTTTGAAATTGGTTCGGAATATGAGCTTAAAGTACTTGAAGGTCAGCTTCGCTTCGCTTGTGATCTGCATGAAGTCGATACTGACGGTGGTCTAGAATATGGGTTTGAATATAGTGATGGTGTTTCTGGCTTACTGATATCTGGCATTATATGACCCAATGCCATTGCAGTTGAATCAAGCTGCAAAATGAGCTTCGAAAGTCCAACGGGCGTCAAGAACCAACCCGAGGTATTCCAATGTCGACTATACTGCCATCTGATCACCATCCACAATTATTTCAGCGCTCCAAGCGAAACATATAACTTCAGATTTTTGTAAAGCCACTCGAAGACCTAGTTATCTTATACAAGTTACTACTTCTTCCACTCCAGCAGTAGCTAACAAGCTCGCCTCCTGATAATTAACATCCCTTGGCCGTCACAAGTGCATCGTCAGCATAAAATATTAAGCCTACTCCTGGAATCAGTCTACCTCGAAGGACTGCATCAAATCCAATGTTCCACAAACCTACTAACCTTAGTCAATTAGTTTGGCTAACCATAGACTTCCAGGCCATCGATGAGTCTTGCCAACCTTTATAACCATTGGCCAAAACGCCATTCTATTCATCGTTCTGTTTCCTGATTCCATGTCAAGTAACTTACTTTTAATAGCGTCTGTTCATCTGAATACCCGAATGTTCGATCAAACTTCACGTTTTCATCAAACAATAGCTTAAACGATCAAACCAAATATCCAAAAAAATACTCTAAATGTTTAGAGTAATTTTTTATGTTATACACACGGCTACACATCAAGCTATACAAAACCAGTTTTAGCTGACCTCGCATTGTATATGCTTTTCGTACAATCAGAAGTCAGCTTATACTAGTTAAGTATAGCTTGATGTGTAGCCGTGTGTACGTGTAAAAAAAACAATACAATCAACGTTACTACTATTTACCTCTTGTTCTATTATTGTGCTAATTATTGATTCTCCCTCCATTTGATCTTGGTGAAACTCTAAATCTTTGTAGTACCATAATGATGGTAGATACAGATCATCTGTACCAGAAACAGAAAGCATAGACTTTTTGACTTTGTTGTTTTCGCCCTTGAAACTCGTACGTAGAATATTAATTTTTTTCTTCACGTCTTCCTCCGTAATGTTCCGGCGACACATCTTCAGTAATATTGTCATTTTTTTTATTGCTGTGCTTCTCTTGTTCTTGTCCATATATTCTTTTGATTTTATTTCCATAAAATCGGCACATCACGATAAACAAATATGAAATGCAACGTAAATTCTTTGTTCGTAATATTGCCACTCATATCGTCACTGAGCGTAGCGTCCTCCATGATGTCAATACAACGAGTGAGATCTTGTTTGGCAAACACCGCCGTTGACGTTCAAACCTGTTTGTCAAACTCGACTTCAATCCAGATTTTCATCAAACATGTAGATTGTTTGACAAACTAATAATAGGAGATCGTATTTATTGGAGATTCGGACAAGTAACCGACGGAGAATGCATTCGATGAGACAGTAGACATAATATTTCCGATGGTAGGGAGCTAATCATTGGAGACACAGGTGACACGGGACCATCTCTTCGTCTCAAGACCCATAATTATTCCTCTAAAAATGGGAACTTTCCCGTAATTTAAATAATCTGCGGATCGAATGGTTTCGCTTTGATTTATGATTAGTCCCAGTCTTTCAGTTCCGGCAATTATATTTCGCATTATTCTTGAGTTGTTTTTAATTATTTTTTCAATGCACTCATCAAGCTCCTCACGAGTCCTAACTTTTTGCAACTTATACTGGGTGCATATTACCTGGTTGTCTCCCCTGTGCCAAAATGCTTATCCTCGTATTTTCGACTCTTCCCTCTCTTCGAATAACTAGAAGGTTTGTTATGCTCCACCCCTTATGGCGTAGTCCCTGTAGACCCCCATTTGGCCATTCCAGCAAACCATTCCAGCATTCCAGCAAACCGGTCTTTCGGGATCACGACTGTATACCCTTCCATTTTGTACAAACATCAAGTCAGGTCTTCCGTTATAGTAAATCAGGCTCTTCTCAAAAAACTCATGTGTTCTAGTAATTAAATTGGGGTATCCTAGGAATTGGCCCATCCCTCGAAAAACTGGATCATTAGCCTCTCCCCTCTGGTGGTTGTTCCACTTTTCATAGTCAATGTGATTTGCGAGGGTTATGTACTCGTAGCTGTCTAAGCCCTGTCCATTGGAGGTATCCAGCATCTTTTTCATAACAGTGTTCAAATCGTCGGCCATCGTCAATCCGGAAAAGAGAGGAACAAAATGGAGTTTTATCAGGTACTCAGTGATCACAAAGTAGTCTCTCAATTTCCAGGACATTAACGCGAAAAACCTTCCTATCCGTTTAATTTCTCTCTCTTTACCTCTTAGTCCTATCACCAGATATACAAGATCTAAACCATGATCATTAACCTCTTGTAAGAACAATTTCCAGTTAGTTGCTGGCTGTCATTTGAGTTAAAATTGTTTATTGGTTTACATTCCTTTTGCATTTTACACATGGCCATGAGTCGCCCTAATATCTTTCTAGGATGAAAACCAAGAACAATTCGATGATGACGACGACGACGTGGCACTCCCGGTCTTCGACCCAGCAACTAGTGACAGCGGTGCGGAAGGCTGGTGTAAAAGCATCGAGGAGTTATCAAAATAATTTGGAGGGAGTCTTGGATACCATCGAAAGGTCGAACATGGGAAAATTTTCGTACAGACCTGTAGAGGTGTAATTATTGTCTATATAGAAATTTCGTAATTCCATTTGTAATATTGTCTAATTGTTTTCATCATCTCAAACGGATGAGGGACTGTAGCACCGATTATTTGCCCTCCCCAGGACAGTGATCTTAAATGATCTGCTCTCTCACTGGAACATCCCCAGCATCCAGGGGATTGATTTGTAGACGATTTGACAATTGAGACGATTGATTTGATCCCCTGAATCTCGGAAGCCACTATAAGATTGTCAATTTCCTTCTTCATTTGGTTCGAGAAGATGTTTCTTATGGTCTTGGAATTTTGGAAGAGTCCCACCAGTCCCTCTGTCATTCCTAGGTATGTTCCAGCTTTATATTCACTCAAAAATCTAGGGAATCTAGGACTAATAGACTCCAAGAATGCATACAGGGGTTCCTCTTCATCCCGTGAATGCATAACAGCATGTTTAACAATGTGATTTTGTATCTTATCACAAGTTCTGATGAGACTCTTCTTAATTTCTTCCTTGATGACTTGAACAGGGTTAATTCCATGCTTGAGATTCAAGGAAAGAGGACTCTTCAACAGCTTCGCGAAGCTACTTCGATTGTAAGAATTTAATTTGGGACTCCCGATTGAGTTAACTAGAGATTGTAAGTTCCGGTCAAGGTAGGGATAGATCCCCCGCCAAAAAGATAAATCCTCTGTGACAGGATCTGGTAAAGATCGAATTAAAAATCTAGTTAGAGATACTCCACAAATGCCTCGCAATGAAGGGTCCATGTACAAGAGGAGAATTCGATATTGAGATTATGTATAATATTTTATATCAGGTGAAGGTAACGTCTTAGGAATAGAAGATTTTATGGCAGGGTTGTGATATTCTAGCACTTCTAATGCAAAGTTCCCTACAAAATTGTAATAGGAGATCGTATTTATTGGAGATTCGGACTAGTAACCGACGGACAATGCATTCGATGAGATAGTAGACATAATATTTCCGATGGTAGGGAGCTGATCGTTAGAGACACAGGTGACACGGGACCATCTCTTAGTCCCAAGACCCATAATTTTTCCTCTAAAAATGGGAACTTTCACGTAATTTAAATAATCTGCGGATCGAATGGTTTCGCTTTGATTTATGATTAGTCCCAGTATTTCAGTTCCGGCAATTATATTTCGCATTATTCTTGAGTTGTTTTTTATTATTTTTTCAATGCACTCATCAAGCTCCTCACGAGTCCTAACTTTTTGCAATTTATACTGGGTGCATATTACCTGGTTGTCTCCCTGTAGCAAAATGCCTTTCCTCGTACTTTCGACTCTTCCCTATCTTCGAATAACTAGCAGGTTTGTTATGCTTCACCCCTTTTGGCGTAGTCCCTCTAGACCCCCCATTTGGCCATTCCAGCAAACCGGTCTTTCGGGATCACGACTGTACACCCTTCCATTTTGTACAAACATCAAGTCAGATCTTCCGTTATAGTAAATCAGGCTCTTATCAAAAAACTAATAAAACCCTTGATGGGGGCGCAGCTGATGATATTGATGTTGGGGTCATGTCCGGGGTGTGAATCCGGTGGTGAGGGGCCAAGGAGTGGCCAACACGTTAGTTGGCTGGCCACCCAGTTCCAGCTCTACCCCTAGCGTCAGGATTCCCGTTAGGTTGACAGCGTGGATGGCGCGGTGATGAATTCTCCGTCGAACCAGCGCTGCCAGGTGCTTTTCACAGTAGACGAGGTAGCCCGCAGCACTCGGGCGATCGGTGGGGCGCAGATGCGTTTCGGAAATAAGCGCCACATCTACGTCGTGCGTTCGCAGGATGTGGCGCAAGTAGTGGCCTTTTCCCCTAAGGCCATCGGCGTTCCACGCCTCGACTGCGCGACCGGCGTCCTCCATATGTCGGGTCAGACGGGGTCGGGTAGAGGGCGCTCATCAATGCGTTGACCACCCTGTCAACCGCCTCAGCGATCACCGTCTAGCTGGGCAGCGCCTGGCCTCTCAGTGGGCCCTCTGCCCGGCGGCTCTGGTGGCTCCAGCAACTGGAGCGAAGTCAGCGGCGGCCCTACTGGGGCCAGCCTCGGCCACCGTGCCTGCGCGCTTATTGCGCGTCTCCTCCTTCAGCATTGGGCACGTACTGTGGTTAGCCGGCGTGACCCCGCACCGCACACAGGCTAAGGCCCGGTGGCACTGGAGCGAGGAGTGCCGGAACCCTTGGCAGCGGTGACGTTGGGCTGAGCCCCTTTTGCCCCGCTAGGACTCGATAGTAACCACCGGAATGCACAATAATTCTTTGATGTTGTATATCGCGGGGGTGAGGTCGGGGGTGCGTCGCAAAATAACAAGGATAATGTACCCCGCTCTTCTCTTACTGGCGCGTATGGGTTGGACATGTTCGCGCTCAAACCCGAGGTCGCGCAGCTCCGATATGATGGCCTCGGGCTCCGTGTCCGCCGGAACGCCACGCACTGCCACCTTGAGCTGCCGTTCAGCTGGTAGGGAGTAGGAGACATAAACGACATTAACGCAGCTACTCTCCAACTCCTCCTAGGTACCGCTGCAACACGCGGTACTCCTCCTCGTCATCGGGTATTATCTTTAGCCCCTGTTAGATTTTTTCATCAAACGCAGCACTTCATTTTGACTGTGATCGACTTCTTTTTTCTCGCCTTTTTTATATTTGGTTAAGTTTCACCTTCGGGAGTGCAAAGCTTATAGAATTTTACGACATACCGATGAGACTTATGTTTTAATATTGGCGGAAACCTAATCGGTCTCTTTAGGGTAGCATTGTTTTATCAATGGCTACATATTTACCTGGTTTTAATATTTGCTGAAACTTTTCAATGATCTTTGAAAATTGATCTCTGATTTTATGTAGTTTGTAAGTTCGTTATTCGAGATATCACTGAAATAGTAAGTAAATAAAAGTAAATAGTAGTAAAAATCGGTCTCTACTAATTGCCGAAATAATAAATTCGTTTCTGTATAATTTATTCTTGCTCCATTACAAGTTTATATGAGGAACCTTATTCAATCCCATTACCATTAAAACGGCCATAAATGTTTTCATTTCCTGAAAACTAGTATCACTCCACTGTTTCATGCGTGATTTACGTTTTATATTTCTATGATTTGTTTGTAAGTAATTTCGTGCGTAATTATTTGTCTGAGACACAATTTCGTAAATCATGTCGTCTCTTACAAATAACTACTTAATCTTTAGGAGATTTTGCGAATGGGGGTACCATCAAAGCATTCTGTTCCACAAATTCGTTAAAACTCACGGGACTTTCAGAAATATCCTCCCACTCATCTTCACCGTTTTTATTGGTTTGGCAGCCACGCAGTGTTTCTCCCGTGTCTAAAGTTTCATTTTCTACGTTTTGATCTTTATCTTCAGAAGATAATTCAAGTTCTATTCCTGCAAAATCTTTTAATGAATGATCGCTCTCTGAAGCATTTGTTTCATCATTAAAAAGATCGTAATCTTTATTACTATTGCTATCACATAAATTTTCAACTCGATCAAAATCACTTAAATCAGTTGAATTGAAAGTGTTTTATTAGGAAATAATGTTTTTCTCTATGGCCTTCATCTCATTACTAGAAATACTATCTTGTTCAATAGAATCTAACTACGTTAGACTTGGTATTTTTTTGGAATTCGTTCTGTTTAAGCTGTCCTTTTCGTCGCAACTAATTTTATCTTCGTTGATAACATGAAACGATTTGAAGATCACTGTCAGTTTATTATTCCTATTTATTTTTTGCTATGATATTTTCCGGAATGTTTTCAATCGAAACAGAAACTTCATAATTAACATTATTTCTTTCAGATTTGGTATCTGAATTTTCAGATTGCGCGTATTTGTTCCCGTTTTCCCCCTGTTCTATAAACAGAAAAAAATTATCCACCTTGAACACAATGTTACGGAGTTTGTGTGCTTTAGTCATAATTTTATTAACGTTTTTTCAATACCTTGACAATTTTCGAGAGTTGTTATGAGGTCAGGAAGTAATCCAACCTTCCATGAAAGATCCGAATCATCGAACGCTTTGCATAGGTTATCCCAGACTTATTTTACAGTATTTGCTTCTTGAACGTGGATATAATTAATTGGATCTACCAGTCACACGAAGATATCAATCTTGCTTTTACGTCTTTCTTTGGATCAACGGCGCCATTGACGGTTATGCATTCCCTCAATTCCTCGTGTTCTAAATACGTTAGTACTGCAAACTTCCAGCTAGCGAAGTTATCTCTTCCAGTTAGTCTCTCAATCAATGTCATGTGATTATTTGAAGACAATATCGGTTTTCAGATGGATTTTTCGTAACTGAAATAACCACAATACTTGCAAACTCGCCGGTGCAAAGCAGTATCGCTCGATCGGAGAAGCACGGCGTGGTCTCTGGGCGTTGTTATTTTTTATTCGGTTAACACTTTTCGAAACTAAACTCGCGTACTAATATTGAGGTGAGTTTATAGGTGCTGGGCCCATTACCTGTTAAATGAAACGAGTATTTTAAGGTTATCAAAGTGTTAATTATTTATTGTAAACCAGACAATGGCGTAAAAAGTAGTAGGTACACAGAGTATACACAGTGATCTGACGTGACTTAGACATTCTATAGTTTATAGAGTGATACATTTTATATTGACTGAAGGCGCCAAATTTAAATTTTATACAACCTACCACTTCTGGAGGAAGCGTCAGCTGACCTTATGCTTTCCGGTGTGAAATTAATATTTAAATCCCCAAAAGCAGTTTTAGAAGCAGGTGCTACCTTACTTCGTGAGGTAATAAACAGGGATCGAATGCTATCATTACCGGTATTTCTTCTTGGCTACGATACAGTAAGATATGACTTAATTCATAGAACAGGATCAAGATAGAAGATCCGTCTTAGAAACAAATTCAGGCCAAAAATTTCATTAATTTCTAACCAGACAATCAGCTGATGTCTGTCTGATGTCCCAAATTTGTTTTCTTACTTATGGGGGCATTAATAGTAATATAATTTCTGTTAGATGGGTCGGCAAAAGTAGCAATGACTGATTTATGCAATTTTATGGTGCTTGGTGACAACTTCTTTACTATATGCAGAAAGCTCAAGTATTGTGCCAGCGATGCCGCATTTGGTTTATTAGCATCAATTCCAAGGGCTTTACATCTTGTTAACCACGATTTCCACGGAGCATAATATGTTTTCAATGACGAATTGCGCCACGCTCTCTGAATTAGGATGCGTTCTTCCTCTGGCAAGTTCTTTTGTTAAGGTCGACCACCTCCTACCTTCCATACCTCCACATGTAAGTTTCTTTAAATTCTCTTGGGTTGTTATATCTTTCAAGTGATAGTGGATGTTCCGAATTTGAAATGGACGGTCTATTGCACGTGAACGTAGATCCGCTCTCCAAAATACTCGATTCCAGCGAGGGACAATTATAATGAATAATCCATCGCTAGATTAAGATGGGGATAATACCCGAGGGATCAGTGAGGGTGGGGGAAAGCGTCGATGAATAGACCATCCTTGTCCTTCGAATCCCGGGATAAATAGACCGGGAATACCTTTCAAAGATTTGTAGGAAACAAGTCTACTTCCGGCGTGCCCCACCTTTAAAAAGTTTTTATATGTTAGTGGTAGTTGTTTAGTGCAGCTTTCTCACATACATTACATATACATAATTTAATAACCGATGAAATAAATGACTAACCTTAACATAAACTAAAATATATTATTAAAAGGAGTCCCTTTAGGCAAGGTTCCGAAGATACTGGCAGCGTTCCCCCTTTGAATCGCTAGACTAATTCTTTGTCCGAGGTAGCTGCCAGATCTTCGGTCTCCTGTGATGTCGACTAACCTTTTTGATATTTCTTTAAAAAGCCGAATGGGACAAAATCATATTCTGAACCTAGACCCCTGTATTTGCATGCTTTAGTTTTTTCAGCCGCTTCACAAGCCGCACCAGCTCTGTAGTTGGTTCCATGTAGATGGGAAGAGCCAGTGTCTGAACAGGTTGCATCCCATACCAGTACCCGGCCCATCTTCCATGGAATCAAACTCATACCGTCCAGTCTTTTGCCATCGTTTCTTGCAATACCACTCGGCTCAAGTAGACTTGGATCGTTGACGGTGGCAAGTGACCGGCGTATGATATCGTTAAGTGCGGCATGTCTCGAGAAGCGGCCTGCACTTTTTTGGTATGACAGGCCGTGATGTCCTAACTTGTCGACATCACTGCCATAGGGTCATATAAGAAAAATACGTGTTGCAGATCTTTATTGACATATGCCAATCTGACAGACGTTTCTGGTGAGACAGAGTGTCGGCCACGTCGTTATATATTCCCGGTATATATTGTGGACTAATTTCTTGGCTAGTGTCAGGATTTGGAAAACCAAAACCGTTAGATGGGAAGATTTTGTGCAGATTTGGGAAAGTGGGAATTATCGGTCATCAAGTTGTGTAACGACAAATATTTAGACTTAAAAAAATTAATAATTAAAAAAAGTACATAAAGTCCTCATTTGACATTCTGGTAAAGTTTTTGAATATGGCACCATCGTCTGCCTTAATTTTTAGTAAACTCGTCCGTGGGCCATTCTGAAGTAATTTTCTTTGCACCAACGTCTCATCTTCCGTTGTTTAGCTGCGTGGCTTAGTAGTACTAAATAAGCTGATGCCAAAGTTACTTGATCAGCCATATTCTATGGTGTATCCCCTCAATAAAACAAGTAGATAGACCAGTAACACTCCATAAACAGCACATTGCTTTGGAAATTATCCAGGCACGAGGTTGCCTCGGCGTAAAATAGACTGCAGTATGGCTCATATGCCGCACATGCGTTCTATTTGTACCATGCCACAAGGTGCCGCATGCCGCAATGTGTAGCATGCCGCAATGTGTAGCATGCAGCACTGTCGCACGTTGTTGCCTCGGCGTAAACATATTATAAAGGTCGTCAATATGTCTTTTCTATCACATTCGGGTATTAATTCAAAACATTTATGCCGACTCTTACTGGGTGGATTGATTTATTAGGAATTAATTTCTTGTTTGTGACTGATATATTCTTGGCCGTAATTGGCGGCTTGGTGGTTGTTTCGCGTGTAATTAGCAGAATTATCCTTTATTTTCTTTGAAACACCTCTGTATGTGAAGGCCTCTACCAAAGATAGCCAGTCCTGTCTAGATTGGGCTTCTTGAATCCAGTTGTGGCCAGCTGCTTTTGTGATGTCGTCTTCCCAGCTAGCTACAGGTTTACATCTCTTTCTTTTTCGCTGTGGTTACCGTTTTTGTCCATCTCTTGTCACGTAGACGCGCCACATCCGGTTCACCTCCATTTTAGTGACTGAGCGTGTTCTAATCCATCCTTACCTTGGTTATGTTTCTAATTTTGGTGTGCCTTATTTTTGCATCTTTCTAATATTTAGCATACTGCCGTTCTATACCCCCCTGACATGCAATAATTTTATCCTTTATTTTTTGTTGAATTTCCATGTTTGGCAAGCATTCGTGCGGCACGGTATTGGCACGAGTTTAGTTTTAATTTTGATCGGCATGCTGCTTTTGAATATGTCTTCCAGTGCCCAGTATTTGTTCCAGGTATACAGCATACCTGCGTTCTACTTCTTGATCGTTACTATCGTGGTGTAAGCTTACTTGTATACCCAGCTACATATTTGTAGCTGTCTGTATATTTGAGAGGCTCGCTTCCAACGTATAATGTTCTTTTTTCGCTGCTAGTCGTCATCATTGTTTTTGACAAGTTCATTTCCAAACCTAGTAGTTTACTGGCATCATTAAGTGATTCTAACATATATTGGATTTCTGAAATACAGATAAGAAAAATCGTCAGAAAACAATAGGTGGCTTAGGTAGGCATCTTTAAGCTTCATAACCCGACTTTTTCAATTTTTCTAGAGGGGTGCTGTAGTTGCTAATACTTCTCTTTGTCATTGTCCTTTTTTCGGGTGCGCAATTTTGGGTTCCGGTAGTCTGGAAATTCAGGATCCCTGATTTTACGACTTCACCTGACAGACTAGACGATCTTTTATATTTCGTCTGTTTCAGCTATAAAATTTTTTCTAAATTAAAAAATTAGGTTTAGATTTTTAAATGTATATTTGTGCCATTTAATTTCGTACCATTAGGATTTAAAGATGATATCTTTTAAATGGTGGCCTCCAGAGTTGATGCACATTTGAGCCCTATTTATGACATTTTGCATAACTTGCCGTAATACTTCCTGCGATATGTTCCTTATTTCTTTGATGAATGTTTTCTTTTAGAGCTGCGAGAGTCTGTGGCTTGTTCACATACACCCGAGATTTCAAAAAACCCCAAATAAAAAGTCTGGACTCGTCAGATCGGGTGATCTTGCAGGAAATCGTCGACGAAATTCACGTAGTGTTTTTATCACTGATGAATTATTCCGTAAGAACATTGACACGATTATTCCACGTTCTTGGGGAGTAAAACGGTCCATGTTTATTTTCAGTGTATTTTACATTTGTTCACTACACAATTTTCAACAACAGAATGAAAACTATCGTGATATAAAAAAATTAACAAATTTTCTTGTTTAAAATTGACAATACTCATTAAAAAATCAACAAATATTATGGGTTGAAGAGATGTAACATAATTTACTTGACAATGAGGACCGGAAACTGAAATGCAATTTTCTGTTAAAAAAAAAGTATATTAAAATATTTTTTTATATTATGGCAATAGTTTTAACTTTATGCCAGTTTCAAGTAAAATATCTTATATTTAAACATAAATATATTCTATTCTTTAAAAAAATACATGTTTTGATTGAATAATATAAAATGATCATGCGTAGGTATAGGTTGCTCAGAGCTTTCATTGATGAATCGTTTCGTATGTAAAAGTCCCTGAAGAGTGTCCGTTGACAGTTTATTTCGGCTAGAGGTTTTCAATAAATTGACTGCAGAAAACAATCTTTCGACATTAGCACTACTATGCGGAAGTACAAGAAGTTTTCTGACGAATAGACTCAACAAAGGGAACATTTGTGTGCGATCGCCATTTCCAAATTCCGAAACATGATGCCAAAAGTCTACAACTTTGACATTTTCTTCAGATGCTAAAGGAAAAGTGAAATTTCTCAACAATCTCCACTCTCAACCCAATTCAGTTAAATTCGAAGGGCATAAATCTGAAAAAATAATGACCGTTGCAATCAATTATGTTTTTATATTTTATAACAATCATTTTTTTTTCTGGGAACAATGTTTTTAAATGAGCAATCGTAG